CGAATTCTTCTGGGATGCATACGGTAGATGCCTTGTAGAATATTTAGTGTAACAATTTGAGATCTATGAAGTTTTTTAGGGTTGTTTGATATTTTTGTGTTAACTTATTCATAAATATGAGGTACCAGTAATTCAAATCTCTGTCACCTCACGTACACTGTTTAACTGTACCAGATCTATGAAATACATTTTTATTTCATCGTAGGTTGAAATAGTTTACAATCAGTAACATGTTTTAGAAAAGTTGCAATGCCAACAATATATAATTTATGGCTATCGAACTTTTTTATTTCTCTTCGGTAACATAAAAACGTGAAAGAAGAACTAGTTCCTTTTCAACAATATTCTTCTTTCCTATTGTAAGTAGGTACTTCATACTTCAGAATAAATCTCAGCGCATTGTGTAGGTTTTATTTATCTATTGCTTACTCAGTGTAATAGCAACAAGTGGATGATGAGCTCGCTCAATGAAATCAAGTTGTTTAGTAAATTGATCCGGCTGTACTGGCCAGGCAATTTGGTTACTGCACAGATTTACACCATTATGCGCTATGATTTGATGACTTTAAGTTGGTCATACGCTAGTATTGTAAACGTGTCGTTACGTCCCATTTTTATAAATAACAAATATTTTTGGACTTTGATGTATGTATACTTGGCATTTAGCTCGATACAACCATTTTGAGTAGCGCTTTGACAAGCAATTGTTACTTATTTTATTTATACCCAATTATTGTCAGGTTAATACTATTGTAAGAAGGATTATCAACTTTCGATTCAATAAGTTTTTTGTATGTTTTACGGCGGCAAACAAGCATACGTATTACCTGATGACAAGCCAACGACGCCGCCGATAGACGCCTGCAACACTAGAGAAGTTGCAAGTTCGTTATCAGCCATTGTAGGAATAAGGTTTTTAGGTGATTTAAATATTGTATAGCATTGGGCCTCCGGTAATTTTACTAACACGGTGAAACAAACTCTGTAGTTGTTTTCTGTGAGGATTTTCCTACCATATCCCAGAAAATCCTTCAGTTATGAAAATCGATAGTTACTCCCTGCATAACCGTAATTCCGCTGTCCAATTTATTGTGAACTAGGGGTCGGCTTAGCCTATGGCGTCGTGTAATCCAATGACGACGCAGGTACGGACAGGCGACAAATTTGTCGCATCATTGAATCGCACCCTCATGCCGTACGTAGATTGTTACCTCCGCCTGTTCCCAAGTACCTAGGGTTGCTTGTGTACAAATTATCTGCAATAATTTTACGTAAATTATGTGCTAGATTGGACAAATCTTGTCCTTCACAATAATTGGTAAAAATATTTTTTGCCTATGGACGGTACTGATATCTTGCCATCATCACCTAAGAGGCAGCCAGGGTTGCAGGGCAAGCGCAATAAGGCGCCGCGGTCTCGGCCGATAGCAGCAAGGAACGGTAGAGTTTTTAGTAAGTAAGTCTGACACTCCCGCGAAGTCATTTGATGATTTAACCCTCACAGAAAAAAAAGGGGATTCATCTGCTATTCGCCCCGAAAACCCATAAAACATTTAAATAAACTAAGTACATAATATGTACAGTCAGGGGTCAAAAATGCAATTGCACTCTACCAATTTTAAAATGACCAAAGTATCTTTGTAGAATAGTCAATGGTTGAGGACTGCTTTAATTTATAGCGTAGAATCTAAATTATTGAATAAACTGGCTGTCAACCATTGAACTTTTACTACAAAGAAATTTTACTCATTTTAAAATTGGTAGAGTGTAATTGCATTTTTGACCCCTGACTGTACATTTGGTCTCCTACACCACGTGTTAATAAGCTAGCAGTGTTAGTTGTTTACAAATTCACTGTATAGAAAATCTAAGAGACATTTTGTCCTATCTTGGTCACAGAAAAAATGTAAAACTCACAGAAGATTTTAGCGATAAGCTTAAAATTCCTTCGTAATTTTTTTTTTTGCACGTTGCGTATTAAGTAACCTTGGTTAGCAGCCCTGTTCGCTGATGTAGCGACAGATGGATAGCCCTTGAGACGACGCCGACATCTAGTCAGCATCCGATCTAGACGGCACTTACTTGTAACTGTACCTGTGTTGGTGACACCTCATCTTATGATAAGTTGGTGTACAATTTATATTGTATGTCGATTTTCAACCTTATTGTTTCGATGTAAAATTGAAGTTGTTTGTTGTGCTATTAATATGGATATCTTATACTTTGTCATTTTTGGGCTACAAATCTTGTCTTTTTTTAATATTCAACCTCTCGTCTGTCGGTATATGGGACAAAATAGTTTTTTTAAATATTTATACATAACTAGCTGCTCGCCCCCGCTTCGCACGTATCTAACTATCCTAACAACAAAAGGGTCAGTTTTTCTCAATTTTCCCTCTGCTAATATTTTCTTTGATGAAAAACCTTCTCCTGACCATAATAAATACCACAAAAGAAAATTATAAAATTTATCCAGGTGTTGTGGAGTTATGTGCTTACCTACACATTTTGCGATCCATTTTTTATATCAATATAGATTATTTTTATACCATTTTAGAAATGGTGGTATCGACGTATATCTTTGTTGCAAGTTTTAAAATTGTTTCCTCTTGAAAGTTTCATGCAACAGTTTCGTTATTTAAAATAGAATGATAACTAAATAGAATTTTAATAATACTCTAACTGACTGACACGTATGTCTTTACTGTATAAGATATGAATAATTTTTTTTGATTACGTTTTTTTTTAATTTATTCTTCGTTTATTTTGCAATACAATCAGCGGGTTTTACTGGTAAGGTTATTACTGTAATACTATATAATTAATGCTAGATTAGTATTTACGTTGGCTAATTAATCACATGTTTGTTTTGCCTATTATTCTGTGTGCCACGCGTGAACACAATGATTTTCGTATACATTAAGAATAAGTTTTAGAAAGGAGTTTGTAGTAAAAAACTATTGTTTTTAGTGTCCTTATGCCTGTTATGTAATTGCTACCTTGTTAGCTAGTTTTAGGCTTGAAACTCCTATTGTACATTTTGATGCTGATAGCCGATCAGCTATATCTCGGCGATTTTTTAAATGATATGGTATAACAGAAACATAACTGAAGTTATCTATAATAACATAATAATAAAGAGAAAAGGATTGTTTGTTCGTAATGAGTAGCCATCGAAAGTGCTGGATACCATTGGTAAGCTTACCTTTTAGACGATCACGTAGACTAATTTATTCTGAAATTCGTACAGAATCCACTCTAGACAAATTTAAATGATGGAGACTTTGCAATAACTACTAACATTGCGGAAGTTAAAGACAATATCTTTATCTACACTAGTAAAACATTTAACTTGAAATAACTGCTACGGAATGCTCTCGTTGCTCTTTTTCTTTAAATAAATTAAAATTAATCTTTTTTGCCTATAAAAATTACTAGATCAAAGCTAATTATTTATCCTTATTATAATATTTCTCAATAAAGTGTTTGCAACGTTAGAACGAAGCGGCCGTATTACGATTATGAGAAAATTAACTCGTTTATTCCATCGAGCTGCAGCGTTATCCAATTAGTGGCAACCCTAGCGATAGGGTTTCCACTTACTACTTTTACTATGAAGATATATAGTCAAGATACTATGTGTTATATAGCAGTAAATAAACGAGTAGATGTAGAATTAATAACAACAAATAAAGTGATAATTTTTTCTCCTTGGTCCACCTGTTCGATTCTCATGTTGAGCTAAGTATTAGGTATTGGGCATTTTCGTTTTTATCGATGTATGACAATATGATCATCCTCTATTTGTCTGTCTGTGAAGTTGACTAGCAGTAGAGTACTGGGAATATGGTAGGATCCTACCGAACATTTTCCATTTTCATTACATATTTACCCACATACCTCGTTCTTCTCATATTTTCATTCCATATTAATTATACTTCGTAGGTAAAATCATTTGTTGTGTGTTAATTTAAACTTTATGTAAATATTATTATGAGTTAAATGAGTTCGCTGCAGTGACGCCGCGTACGGTGACCAAGTTATCCAATTAGAGGCAACCCTATTTTCGCTTGCGGGGCTGTCAACTTTGTAGAAACATGTAATCATTTGTACGATAAATGTTTTGATACTGCAATATAGAGACTAACATGTATTTACTTGCAACTTTATATGGCTAGTTAAGATATGCCAGTATTTTTAAATAATTGTATTTTTTGTTTTTATGACCCCTCCCCCCCTTTAACTCTCATTAGCATACAATCAATTCAGATATTCAAAATAATAAATTCAAATAAATAACAGATTCAAATAGAAATATCCTTTCATGACACACAAATAAACCAACAAACAGACTTCCATAAGCATAAAAACAATATTTAATTCAATGCCCAACCACTGAAAAGCTTTTCAATCAGTTAAGCCACAAACCACTATAAAACTTTAGCTGGAAAAATAGCAACAGCCTATAGCTGGCTATTGTACAGGGTGTTTATACTTATGCGTTTACGTCTAGGCGCGTCGCCGGCGGACGTGGCAATTTGCGTCGACCCTCCCCCCCCCCCCCCCTTTCACCCTCTTTGCCACGCTATTCCCCCCTACCCCCTTCTCACAATTCCATTATGTCCATGTTGAACGCTGTTGTAGGCATTTGTGATTATACGCTGAAGACGCTCTATTTGTATAGTGTTTTACTATTATAAGCGTGGATGTTGTTGAAAGAATGAGTGGGTTGTCTATGTTTGTATGTCTGTTCGTTTCGGTTTCTGAAGTGAAGAGCTGGTTTGCGTGAATATTTCGGTCATAGACTTGTAGACGACCTAGTATATGTATACATTTCGTTCAGTATTTGCTAGTATTATTATTAATGTGTTAAATATACTAGTAGGAATACCGACTGTTGTATATAGCTACCAATTATTAGACCCTCAAAGATAAATCTACCTTTGAATAGAGAGCGTGAAAGGTTAATTAATCAAACACATGAACATGATTGTTCGCAGGTAAAGAAAATGGCGGAACGTGTAGCCAAGTGTCGCGAGGAAGTCGCAAAGAGCAGAGAAAAGTACCAATCGGCACTGGCAGAGATCACTGCATACAATCCACGCTACATTGAAGATATGACCGGAGTTTTCGAGCGCTGCCAACAGATGGAGGCACAGAGGCTCAAATTCTTCAAAGACGTTCTCTTCAGCTTCCACAAGTGCCTCAATATCAGTCAAGAACCTTCGTGAGTATTGATGGTCTTTTTACGCATTTTCCAAGTGGGTGTAGATTTTGTATTGTTATTTCTTTTCTGACTGTGTGAGCTGATATTCTCTGTTAACTTGGAATAGAGTAAATATTGTAAATTTCCTCAAAAAATATTCTGGAACTAATTTTAATCTTAATTCTAAGTCTTACTACGAAATGTTCCAGATTACCCCAAATCTACGAAGAATTCCACCATACGATAAACAACGCAGACAGTCAGAAGGACCTGAAGTGGTGGGCCAACAACCATGGAGTCAATATGGCAATGGCCTGGCCACAGTTTGAGGTAACATACACTGCTGCATTCATTACAGCCTGCATACAAACCTCTCCCACTCACTGCGCAATGCATACTTATCTATGCGATTATTTCGAGTACTATATGCATCTAACGAGAATGCTTGTACGTTGAGCTGCATACAGTCTTTAGGTACGGATTTTGTTGAACCATGGTGATGTAAAATAGACCACAGTTTATATTCGGATCTATCGATTTTATCACGCGTTAATTTGCTACTAGTGGCGCTAGTGTAGCTTTAAGTCTACCTTTATCACTTGCCTAGAATTGACAGATTTGGATGACTCAGTTTTTCTTAGATTGTAATTGACATTATACTATGACAATCATGATTAAAAATTTAATTATTCATTCTTTACAGATTCCTAAGTTCTAAATTTGATGTGATCGTCACCGTGGTTCAATAAAAATCTGTTATATTTAGCCATAGATGACTGTGAGGGCATTAGCCGTGTTAGTAAAAACTACGCATGTCTAAAATATACCTATTCTAAACTATCCCTTTTCTTAGATTTAGGTGAAGTTATGGTATTTAGTTGTTTCTAATTATGTTTAGATTTCTTAGAACTTGTTATGAGTAACTAAACAATTTGGTGGCTGCACACTGCCAAGTAGATTATAGCAATATTTCTTCTTGTCTATAAAGGTTCAAAGTTTCATTAGTCCAAGTTAATATTTTCTTTATTTACCCCTACTAAAGTTGGTCCTTTGTCCCAAAAATTTTGGTCCTTTCAGTGTGCGGCCACCTCGCTTGTAGTTAGACCTTCAAACAATTCTCTTATCAAGGTTCGTTAATGCCGAACCAAAGGCAATATTTTATCAAGATAACGACATTTCAACACTACTGTTACCTCGCATACCAACCAACAAATACTCCAAAATATGTAAAGAATAGAGAAATAGGAATGCCAACGGATTTCCTCCAATTTTGCAATATTTTCAAATTTACTGCCGACCTAGAATTAGACAGGGAAAAGTATTTTAATCGTTTCGGGTCAAGTGCAGACTAATTGCTTTAGTAATGTTGATTAATTCAAAGCAATCGCAATTATATTTGGTCACTACAAGTTATTCACGGTATTTTATACTGCAATTAAACATAAATTAGGTAACTGAGTAAATAATACGACATAGCTGTGTACATTTTAGGTCAGTGCATACTTGACAAAAAAACTCATACCAGAACATAAAAGTAACAATACTCGCATATTAAAAGACATATTAATAAAGGTCGATACACCGGACTCGGATCCGATAAGTAACAAATACTTGGCGGAGGCGTCAGCGATATTCGCTCGCGTCCTTGCGACCGCGCGGCGACCGGTACCGCGGCCGTCGACCGTGCCGTGGTCACGCGCCGTCCGCCGTCTGCGACTCGCTCTGCCGACGTTCTGCTTCGGTGTGGATGAGCGAGCATCCAGCCGCGTCGCCCCCTCAGTCATCAGCAGCCAGTGCTACGGCAGCAGCCGTTTCTATAGCAACCCGCTGATGGTACGACCACGGTGTAGGTTCGGTGGTTAACGCCAACTCTAGGCACAGACCTGTACCTTGATCGTTCCACTCTCGACAAAGTATGGGTCTCATAATGTCTATTGTTAGCGTCACAATTAGCACAGGGTTATGAATAGGCGATGGACTGTGGATTTTGTGGACAGGTGCTAAATATTAGGTCCTAAGTGGTAAGGTTATTTGCATTTAAAATGTTACCTATAAATTGATAGGCTGTGATACTTTTGTATCTAAAGGTAAGTGTTTCACTTTGCAATTTACGTAACACTTATAATAAAATTCAACTACTAGTTCCCCCAAAATGCACTGTATATCGCCTGTCATAAGCCAGCACTTGATACCGAGACTCAATTAATTGAAGAATAATGATTTTGCAAAGCACCAAAAGGGTTGATGGTGTCACACGAATATACACCGTGATTATTGGTGTTAAAGAACTATTTTGCTCATAGATAATCACTGCACCATTCATGGGGCATTTACACTTGTTCGGCGCTGGTGAGCGACCGATCAGAAACATTCAGCACTGCAAAACAGAAGCATAAAATCCAAAATCTTTATAATTTTGAAATTGGAACTCGTCACTGAACCTAATTTTAGTGACAGCAATTGACTATACCTGTATTCCACTAACGGAATGTCTCAAATGATTCGAATTCTCCCGCATTCCCAAAATTTGGAATTGAATCGGAAATTTCGAACTGTTTTGACGAATTAGGTCACAAGATTCGGATTTACGGGAATCGGTACATTCGGTACGGATGCGATTTCTAAGGTTGCACTCATGTACACTCATCCACACTGAAGTTCAGCCAGCAATTAATGCAAAATGTTTTAGAAAAGCGCACAATGCCACTATAGATGCAAGATGCAACTGGTATTGGAGGTATCCGCCATTTTGTCAATAAAAGGACCAGGTAACTTGACTACATTCGGCAGCCGGTAGAGACTTAAAATATACGGGATAATTTAGCACAACTCCAGTCAGCAGACTTTACAATTTTAATTATAAACCATAACATAATTTTGATTATTGACCGAAACTATCTCAAGTTTTCGTTTTATCATAATGACGTTAGCGGTTACCCGTTAAAATTTGACAAACAAAACTTTATAGTCTTTTTCAAAGCTGAGATCATGGATAAACCTTCGCCTCGAAGGACCGAAAATGTCCCCACTTAGTTTATTACCTAATAGCATGTGATGACCTTCTCTGTAGCCTTCAACTAGTGCAAGCTTTATATTAATTACCTTCTAACGAACACCGGCTTTGTATGAACGTGTCTATGTTTACCATTTTTTTTAATAATTTCATTTTTTTTTGCATTAGAGCGATCAGATGTTGGGAAAAACAAAATGAAAAATGATTGATAGAACTGATGATAGAGAATTGAGCCTTTTTTTATTTAATTTGGTATTTTTTCCCAACGTATGATCGTCTCTGCCGTGATCGCTTGTGACGTGTGTGTCGCTGAGCAGGAGTACACTGAGGAGTTCCGAGACATCGCGAAGGGCAAGTCCAAGGAGAGCCTACCCACCGGCCCCATCACACTGCTCAACCAACGACCCGTCAGCGAAGATGTATGTTCCACCACCTTCTTTACAACGACACTTGCATATACACCTACTCTAAACTGCACAATTCAACCTTTTCCTCAGTTGTAATAAGGTCGAAAATTGTTTAGCAGTTTGGGGTAGGTTCATGTGCTTGCGTCCGTACAATGTGTCACGTATACGTGAATTTTAAATGTGGTGTCTTTACCCACATAATTGAACATTTTTGTTCTATACATTTTGAGAATTCACAAATGCTCAATATTTTATACAGTTTTATTTTTTGTGGATTTTCAAAATGTGTATAGCAAAAATGTTGTTTTGTATTTTGGGACACCATGTAATTTATTTTTCGCTATACGTTACACCCTGTATATCAGTTTACGAACGTCCGCGATGGTGGTGACGCAATCATTGGTAATTATGGTTACAAGGACAGGGAATAATTTTGAAGTAACAAATCAGTTGTATTGTTTTTGACCAATCCGTTTTTTATTCCAGTAATGCAAACGTTTTATCTTCTTAAATAGTAAACAAAATGTTTTTCCCTTTCTCCTAACGTCAACGTACCCACCATCGCAGTCGTACGTGAAATGACGTCACGCACGCGCCCGCTGCGTCACAGTGTTGTACGAATCTCAATCGTACGATCTATACAATAGGATTCAAATGAGAATGAATCATATAAAGCCGGATTGGTATTTCTGCTTTTTATTAGTAGCATGTTTTAAAGTAGTTTGATTTCTTAAGGGATGAGGTCATTCTCATTTTAATCGATTTTTTTTTATATTTTTATGTATTTTTTTTTTTATTTTTATTGTTATATCGATGTTGCATGATGGATGTTCGCTTCTCTCTACAAATTTTATGCATATTGGCATGAATTAACATTTTAACCCCCGTATATCAATCTATATTAGTTAAATATAGTATATGTTTCTACAAGAATATATAAGTAAATATAAAATAATGATCTTTATAATAATACAGATATGAATTATATATTTTTTACAATATTGAGCCACAGGACCAAATTTCTATTATTCTATTTATTATCCAAAATATTGATTATTTGGAAATTATTTTGCTCTCAGTACTTATAACTATAAAAAAAGCAAAGGTTGTACAATACACAATGATAATAATAATTTGGTCCTTTGATCCAAGGAAAATATTTAATAAAGAATTATTACTAAAAAAATATATCGTACCAATTTCAGGAACTGCCACCGATCAACAACACGAACAACAAAACGAGCAAGGCCGCCAATCACACGGACTCTGCGCCCGCGCAGACAACTGTTGTCAACAACACAGCTAACTCCAACAACACTATCGACAAAAAGAGCATCAGTGCGCCTATTGCTGTTACGTAAGTATCTAAGGATTGGAATAACTTTCTTGCAACGATCTTCCCGTCCAGTTATAATGTAGGTGTCCTTTAATGATTGCATCATTGCTTACCATCAGGTGGGATTGAAGAGAAGCACTAGTTTATATGATTAATTTCTTTTACATATATCCTCAAGCTTGGTAAATATCCCGTTGGCTAGTAACAGTTGCAATGAACGAATCCACACTCCTTTATCCTTTGACTTTTGAAAACATAAATTCTGAATGATTAAGTTCAAAGTTAAGTTTAATGCTACTATAAACTATAATATAGGGTAGCGTTCAAAATAGAAAGTAATTAAGTTCTACGGCTTTCTCATGTAAGTAACCGTTTTACGAGGTAACCCGACTATTTTCAAGCTTTGATGGGGCTCATAGCTACTATCAATATTGGGCGACAAAAGATGATTTTCTATTATTTATCGCACGTTTAACAAATCCATACTTACCTTAAAATCCAATTCCTTCTATCCTGTCCACTCCTAGCATCCAACGCCTTGAAATATTCGCGTGCGCGCCCGGCTGTGCGCGTGCGCTCGACGACTCGTTCAGCAGCCATCTTGTGCGGCTCTCTATGAAGCCCGACGTTGCTAACAGCTCGCAATTCACCATCACCGATATGAGCGACAGTTTCTATGAACCGTTAGAATTTAATTCTCTCGTAGACTAGATACACTAAGTAATCTTTGAATTTAGTATTGTAGTAGCACAATAAAATAGACCATTTATCTTCGAATCAAGACAATATAGTTTAAGTGTCGGAAAGTCATGCTTCGGCTATGGCCGGCTTGACCGGAGCGATGTGTTTTGCCGAATGAGTGAGGATACCGGAGGCCCAATCCTTTTTAAGCGAGGGGAATCCCTAAATCTCCTAATTCCAGATCCCCAAAAGGCCGGCAACGCAATCTCGTACGACTATAGTGTAGTCTGTTAAAAAAATAGCGTGATATCACACACAAAAATATACCCACTGCTTAAATTCGTATTTAAAAGTTGTTGTATATAGTACGTTTGTATTAAAACCTTCTTATAATTAAAACACAATTATTTACTCTAAATATTAACTTTCCCAGCAATGGTACAGCAACAGCGCCTAAATCGAACAAGACATCGCCAGCTAAGGACAGTACCAAGGGACAAGAGAATCCGTTCGACGAAGATGAATGGGATGAAGAGTCGGGCGGGGCGCTTACTGACACGGGCGAGCCGGGCGTACCCGTGCGAGCGCTGTACGACTACACAGGTGCAGAGAGCGACGAACTCAGCTTCAGACAAGGTGAGCAAACCGTACCATAGGTTTTAGTTGCCATTTTAATAAAATACTCTTCTTGGGCAAAAACAAATATTAGCAGTTCGATTCCCGCACGAAACAACACTTTGTGTGATCCATAAATTGTTGTTTCGGGTCTGGGTGTCATGTGATGTAAAATTCAATGTTTGTTAATCCACGACACAGGAGAGAATCATAGTGCGAGGCAATATAAAAAAAAAATCGATGCCGTTAGGTAACCTGGATTCAGTGTAGGTCTACGCCCAGTTGTGGACAAAAAAGGGCTGTTTATAATAATGTAATTTATCACAACGTACATCACAAAGTAGGCAGTGAATGGGGTGCTAATACCCATATTTCTCCTTAGAACGAAACGGTCAGTTAGTGCGATGTGCCGAGGGAGTGTCGCCGGCGTCGCCCCGCCCCGCTCTGACGACTGCCGCGGTAACACCTGACATGCATTACTTGCACCACGCCGCACCTAGCACGCCGTTATATCACTTACCCATAAAACCAAAATAATAATAATAACAAATTCATTCTATTGTTTCAGGGGACTTATTCGAAAAATTAGAAGACGAAGATGAACAGGGCTGGTGCAAGGGTCGGAAGGACGGCCGGGTGGGCCTGTACCCTGCCAACTACGTGGAGCCCGTGGGGCACTAGCCCGCGCCGGCGCACGCGCAGCCCGCGACACGTGACGAACTGTAAACTGTGCACTGTGGGCAACGGCACTAGAGGTGAACGAACGCGCTAACTTGTGGAAAATAAAAAAAAATATTTTGATGAATCTAGGAACAAATTGCACTCTACGCTTAGAACAAGCAGATGTTGGCCTTAGCAGAATTTAATGTTGTTTACATAGTCGACTGATATTACTACTTAGCTGGCACGTCTGTACGTGCGGCGTATCGCTCTTGCTTCCCTCGTTTGTAAACGTATTGGTATCATTTAGGAAGCCCTAAATTTTACCAATACTCCATATTAAAGCTTTGATAAGTATTATATGTACCATAAAACGTAAATATATGAAAATAGTTGTATATAAAACGGGCCCCTATGATAAATTAATGTACCCTTAACTAAGCAGTATTAAGTTCAGTTAGCGAGTGTAAAGTTAGTGGTGTTCATTCATGTCTACGGACGCACGGGATCAGTACTATCGATACAATCATGTTAACGCGTGACAGGTTATAAAATTGTTCCGTTTTATATTCGCGAGTCACGATGTAGTCATTACAGTAGTAACAGATGTTATGTACATTCGGATGTACCCGTCGGGTTTACTTCTATACGAATAGCTATACATATATTTACTTGACACCGTCACTCAACGCAGCAAGCAGCTTTAATACGTCTTATGATATCATTCCACTCGACATCGAACCCCATACCCCATGGATCGAGCTGTTTTTGATATATTTAACAAGACGATTTTCTAACTGATACATTTTCGACCTAAAATTTTTGTACGTTTCTATAAAAACGAAAAATTCAAATCAACTTTTTAATGGTTTTGTTAATAATGTAAACGAGACGGTGTTTGAATATTTTTGGATGGAACTCTTTGTAGGTACAATATGGAAACCAAAAATTGTTTATTTGTAACTTTTAGTCACACTGCGCCGCATCCACTGTCAAGCGTCAGTAGTCGCGCAGTATACGCGCAGTACCGGGCGTGAGATACCCAGAGGTGTATCGACTACTTGATTAGTGGGTTAATTGATTGTCTGGGCGACTGCACTGTAGGTAACTAACAAATCTGCCCAGACCATCAGTTGTATATAAAATGTATAAAAGCAATGTTAAAATCTAACAGTTTGAACGTAGATCGGGTCCCAAATCGATTAGTATATCGATATTGTAGCCGGTACATCTCTATTAATATCGATGAGGAATTTAGCTAAGCCAAAAAATGTACGCCAATATAAATAATTAGATAACAATGATACGTTTAGGCGGCAATGGGATTTATATTTTTGTGATATAATGGTACTGGACAGTGGTCGCCACTGCACCCTAGTTGTGTTTATGTACATACACGATTATAATATATCTCGTCGTGCTTATAGAATATTTATTTCCCATTGTATATAATGTAAAATGCATTCATAAATGTATGTAAAGTACAACGGGCGGGCGCAGCCGGACTGAGCGAAGGCCTAATGTTGTGTAGCGCCCCGCGCGGTACCTGCCCCCGTGTTCACATCGCTGGCGCCCCCTCGTTTAGGTTAACTAAACAGTAACGATTATTAATATATTACGAGAAATGTTTAATCTTTTCTTTTTCCCTTTTATACCTCGTTTTAAATATTGTTGTATTGTGTAATTATAGCGGGAGTCATTACGTTAGTCGAGGCTGAGTTTCACCTGTCTACTGTCGGTCGCGCTTAGTCTGTAGCTGTTTTGTTTTCGTTGTTATAGGTTCAGCGACCATTTGTGAGAAATTCTTTGTATTATATAATTATCAAAGAGGGTGGTTTTGGACCACATATGTTAATATATTATGAATATTGGTAAAATAAAATTGTTACATATGGTATTTGGGTGTTTTATTTGTGTATTCAATCAACTGAGACAGTATACTTACTGTATAACTATATATCTTAATAGGTCATTAATGACCTATGAAATTACCGTATTTGAATAAGTTAACTTTGAAGGATTATGTGTTCAACTGACTTGAAGTTGTAACTTCAAACAATTCCCTTTACCCTATAACTTATGGTCTGAATAAGAAATTCAGTTATTACATCAAATGATTGTTGCAAAGCAACGAGCTCGCCACACATCGAAAGGATCATTAATAAATCATCGAAGAGCAGCGCAAACACGGAGTCGAAGTCACCAGGAAATTTTTCCGTGGTTTGCCTCAGCATAATATACAAACATCAAGTGAAATAATTGAACGCACAGAAAAGTTTCCTAGGACATTACTTTTATCAGTAATTATCACGAGCGTCACATATCATATAGTGGCGGGATGTGGCATTTCGAAACTTGGTGTAAAAAACTACTACTGGACATGATGTTTATGTAGAAGGTAATAAGAATAGAATTTGTCCGTACTTTTAAAATCAAAAATTCGAAAAAGAAAAATAACATAGCAAAATATTTAGACTGTCTCGAGTTGACTTGTTCCTTGTGTTGAGACAAGTTATAAAAAAAGAACATATGATGGGATCTATCATCTAATCCTTTATCGTCTCCAACACGCTCATATATGCGTTCTGACATTATAATGAGATCAATAAAAAAGCCTCAAATATTTTACCAAAAAACGAACAGGACTGCAGTAGGTGTATAAGAAGATACATTTGTACTGTCCTCCCTTAGTTTACACCTTTCTGGGTATCTTGACTAGATCAATAAAACACAAACTTTAGATAATAAAACATGCTATCAGGTCCACCAGTTGATCTAGCCTTGAGACGCCTCACAGTCCCACCTTCTATGAAAACAATAACATTTCGATAGTCATGTGCAGCCATATTCGGATCCAACAAGGGTTTATCTGGAGATGCAAAATATCTAACAAAGGCTGCCTGATATTTCACTTCAGTCTTTTCTTGTGTATTTATGTGTAATGTAAGGATGAGAGTAGCGTCAATTCAAAAGATGTTCTTTCCTTTTTATTATGTGACAGAACGGCAGACGTATTTCCTGATGGTATGCAATGTGCTTGGTTGTTCCACGCCGGTTTTCTGTGAGGTCTTGGTTTCACTCCGGTCGAGTCTTTTTGCCAAATGCTAAAGGTATCGAATGTGAGATATGATTAAACGGTATGAAATTGGAATTCGTAAATCAAACTATTTTTCTGGGTATAAAAATAGATGAGAAACTACAATGGGGGCCCCATATCGCATTTCTGGCAGGACGATTGAGCTCTGCAGCATTTGCTGTCTGGAAGATCCGACAGCTAACAGATGTGGTCACTACAAGACTGGTATACTTCAGCTACTTTCATAGGATTATGTCGTATGGCATTTTGTTGTGGGGACAGGCTGCTGACATTGATTCTATCTTTGTCTTGCAAACGCGCGCCATCAGAGCTATTTCCAACCTCAGGCGTCGCGAATCTCTTAGAGAAAAGTTTATAGAGATCATATTATGACTGCCGTATCAGTTTATTTATGAAGACATTATGTATGTAAGGAAAAACTTAAAATTATTTGATAAGGTGTCAGAAAGATATAATTTTCAAACTAGACATAGATTATGCCAGCCATTATTTAGGTTGGTAAAGGTTCACAAGTCGTTCATGGGATTCTGTGTTAAATGTTTTAACAACATCCCAGACGAAATACAACAAATGGAATTTTAAATTGTATAAAGAAAAAATATGTACCTAAACAGGCGTATAGATAAAATCTACAATATAATCATTCAGTGTGTGCTTGGAGACATGCTGGCCCTGCTCCACAGGATAAACCTACACCAAAATAAATAATGTCCCAGTGGATTTTTGCTTGAACGGATTGACCCTTCTCAAATTTAGAAAAATAGCCTTATATTGTCAAGCTTGTGAGTGCCCTGTAACCTATTACAATTGATAAGTCCTTATGTCCGCTTGGAGTTGTCATGCTCACTCAAAGGTCGCAGTGGCGGTGACGGTGGCACTGAATCGCTTTATTCCCTACTAGCTGACCCGACAGACTTCGTCCTGTCAAAAAAATTGTAATATGGCAGTGTTTTGTTCCTACCTATTTTACATTCTTTGCAAAAAAAATATCCTGAACGGAATCTGGTCACCTGGTCACCCTGGTAATAATTCCGTGTGAATTAAAAATAATAGAAACAGTATAAACACTTAAAAGTAAGTAATTTTAATAATGTAAACCGTAATTAAAAAACTCGTTCTATTTTCATTGTAGTGCTCTGTGATAACCATACGACGAATATGAACCTTATTTAATAGCAATAAAGCTCAAATTGATTCTACGTTTTAGGTACCAAACATTTGTATGTGAAAAAGAATAGGGCTGTTTTTAGGGTTTTTCCGGCAATTATTAGATTTTTCTTGCCGTAAGAACCATCCTTGGACTTTAACGAACATCGTAAAAAAAGAATTGGGTCCAACCGTTTTTGAGTTATGCGCTTACCAACATATTTTGCGATCCATTTTTATTTATATAGATAATATGGTTGAGTTGGGCGATGCTGGTGTACGTGTCATGTTCGTGAAGGGGGGCAGTTAGTTGCTAGCTAATTTAAATAAATGATTTTTGACTTTTTTGTCTACCCAATGTGCATTTTAGTGCGAATGAAGCCTAAAATGAATAATATTTTTATTTGAGTTTCGGGTGTCATCGATATTCATAGACACAAATCTCCGATACTCGCAGTCAATTTCTAAGCACGGCAGGAAGAGATTCTACTATGTACCTCTGTTTCAGTATTTGTTTTCCTATTTACTGTATGTGTGAGTACATAAATAATAAATACATTTTTCAAATAGTCTTCAAATAGCGTTATGCGAACCCCCGCCATTCCTATACAGAATACGGTAGTTTCCAACTAGTCAAATTCAATACTTTTATCCAAACGTCAAAAACGATACTTTACTTTGAAATTTGTATGAAAAACTGAGCTATGACGTCATAACATTTTTGCGTCAAATAGCTTACTTATTTCACAATAATTATTGTGAAATAAGTATTTCATAATAATAATAATGTATCGATCGATCGATGAATAAAAGTATAGTTATTTTTCAATATTTGGTAGTATTGAAACATCGAATTAATTTATTTTTGACTTAGGAAACTACCCAATTGCTGACGCAGGCTCATGACCCCGTGGGTGATCACGCAGCGGATGCTCGTCTCGGACTTCTAGCTTCTCAGTTTCAGGTTTATAGTTTTAGGAGGAAGGAGAGGAATATAGGAAAGAAAAATTCAAACAACAATTTTAAAAATCTCTTTATTTGATGGTACGCAAGTGCACTGTCACAAGTTCCTCAGCCTACTGCCGTACATTGAATCAACGTAAATAACAACTCAACGCAATGTAATAAAACGGTCACAATTCAAATACTAAACGCGCTAACTACAAACATAAAAATCAGTCATTGTAATCACAAAATTTTTAAAATGAGTGCAAACTTGAATAATATAACATGATATATTGCACTTGAGGCGTAACGTACAGCAATAGGCTTCATTTTTTACGTCTTGTTGAAGCCAAGCCAACGTCTACTATGCGCGGGCGAACTCTGAAGTAGTTTTAACCTTTATACGACATACTAATTGATTCCAAACTCCTTTGTGTACCACTCCACAGTCGCCGCTATTCCAAGCATATAGCATTCCCTTCATATGCAAAGTAAGGCAAACAATATTGCTATTAGCTCTAAAGCCATCGCTTATGAACAAGTCTCCAACACATCTGTGCACTTTGTGCATATTTGGCACAAATAATCTCTGCGCGAATTCAAACTGGTCTTGTACACCCACTCGACGACACATTTTAATTTATCTCGAGTTACCAATCTTAATTTCTGAGTATTTGACAGTAAGACCAGAATGCTCTAAACCGCTCTCCAATCATAACCCACCCTTCGTGATAATAAATGCAATTACAGAAACATAACGTTAATATTTACATGAGCTTTGTATTTACATACACGGTGGCGCCCCCTACCTGATATGTGGAACAAAAAATCGTGTACTTATTTACAAATCATACAAAAATGAGTATGTAACAAGTTTTGGGGTTGGAACGAGATTCCCGAACGTTATATAATATAAACTTTACAATGATATTTTAGAACTAAATATAGCGTTCTATGGCTAGCTATGTATGGTGTAATAATAATATTTAGGCAGCTTCGTCGGTGTTGAGACAAAACCGTTTATTGGATAGATTTGCATTACATTATAATCTTGTCCGTCCTTGTATTAAAAGTTAATGTTTGTCATAGAATGGTAAGCTATGGTTTTTTAAAAACAATAATCAAAGCTGACAGAAATGCAAATCCGCTACATACTAAACATTAATAGCGTTAAATGCATACTTTAAAGTGTATAATGAAAAAATAACAATAAAAAATACGGGCCAAAATCTAAAGCAAATTCAACTTTAAACTTTCCCAAAACGTAATGTCCCAACACAAAGCCACCTCGTCTTACAAAAAAAACAATACAAATAACATCCAACGTAACATTACACAAACTGGAATCAAACTCTTTACACAACAGTCATCGATACATTATTTACAAACGAGAAACATACGACACTAATTCTTTATTTCATAATAATAATTATTTTTATTTTATTTTATTATAAATACTTTTGACATTAATAATAAACTATGTATATTATTTTATGGAATTATTTTTGTGAGATAGTCAGAAAATATATGTACAACTGAAATTTTCAAGCAAATTTGTTATAATTAATTATGTATGTTTTTTTTTGTTAGGATGGAATATCGTGAAGTTAGGTATTTCTCCCGCCCTGGATAAGGCGAGAAACTACTTAAATCCATCCGTTCCTTCTCCTGCTCAGAACTGGCCACATTAAATAGGGACCTTACGAAACAGGAATTTCATATTTTCAGTTTTAATAAAAACTGTAAGCATTCTTTTTTAATTTGCCATTTGGCCTGGAACAAAATTGTATAAGATTTTTTCTACATAATAGAAGTCACGGTTATGATGATGGGATCCTTAATAACATCTGCAACATTTTATATTACGAGTGTATATTTTATTTATAATTTTTAAACATTTCCAATAGAAAAGAATCCTCACAAAAACAATCCATGTAGTTAATATCCATACCGCATCGAGATCATAGCCCTATACATCCATTTTTAACATTACAAAGCCTTCTGCCTACCCCCCGCGGGACAAAACTATAAACTCTATAAATTAAATTAACTAATGTCAATGCTCAACGTTTCCGGCCGAACATAGGCCCGTCCTAAGACCGGCCAAGAACAACCAGACTAATATTCATTTAAATTAACTTGTAAATAATATAAAAACAAAAAATAATAGTCTTGTTATAACATTTATATCGAGTTTTGTATTAAAACGATTTTTATCAACAATCGATTCGTCTCGATATCGATAACTCTGAATCGAGTCGCGTCATTCGATTAGTACTGCCGCTATATCTATGGACAGATATACCTCAGCTGGCGAGCGTGACCACTCGATATATATCGATGTTTGAATACCGTGGTACGTCGCTAGTGTTCACTGCAAACACGCCTGCAATTTCTCGATCCACTCCTGCGCAGCGTTCGCGTCACTAGCGCAGAAGTTGTACGTACGTCTGCTTGTGCGTAACTGTAAGAAAATAAGTTTAGTATTTAACATAGTGACTGACTATATCATCGCATGCGTAGCCATCGAGCAAGGCGTTTCTTCTTTAGAGATATTTTTCTTACTCGTCAACCTACTTTCGGCCAACGACGCGCCTCATACTATAATAATATGAAATGAGGAACCAAATTCAATGCACTAAACTTATAATTCGGGAGCTATCAACTACTAAGAGAAATAATCACCTTGTTGTAATTTACTTTTACATAAATATACTTAACTTGTGTATTTGAGTGAAAAAGTGTTGCTTATCTATACTAACTCAAAAATCTTCACGAAAAATCAGTGTACGGAGTTGACTACTCACAAGTACACAACATGTACTAAGATATTCGAATTACAAGTTGGTGTTGCTTATAATATATTCACGTCTACTACCCACTTAAGAGAGATAAAAGCGTAATGTAACAACTTACATCAAAGAAGGATCTATCGTCACATTTCTTGGGCGGTCCAGGCGCGGGCGACGCCTGCGTCACTGTTATCACCTCTGCGAGATCTAAAACAAAGTATAATAATAAGAAAACCAAAAAGAAAAACCTATTTCCTTACTATACCTTTATCATAAGTGTGTCGAACGGAGTGATACCACGGCATAACAGAAGACGGGTGTGAAACAATCACAGCGTTGTGTTTCGCCGTGTGATTGAGGTTAGCTCATACGCTTTATTAATTCATAATAATAATAATATAATTGCCGACTACGGTCCTATCACATTTAGATTAAAACTGTTCAACGGGCCTCTGCGAGTTGGCTTCGGCCCCTTGTACGCCTTCCAAAGGTCCGGGATCGTGTGGTCCCGTGAAGGGAAAAGAATAATATAATTATAATAATGAAAATGTGTCCTAAAAATGTATGTTCGAACTCACCAATGAATCCTTTGCAATGCGAGTCTTCCATCGCGTCATAGTATCTCAGCTGATGCTTAATGGAGTCCAGCACGAACCAACTGAAACAACAACAAAAATTACGTTTGTGAATGCATAGTGCCAGGGTCGCAAGATGGTAAGATTTTGTTGTGGTAGGGATAAGTTCGTTAGTCAGTAAGACTCTGACACTCTCTCTCATTACCGTGGGCGGGTTATTTGATGATTTTCCCCTGACAAAAAAAATGGATAAGTTCGTGTGTGTATTTACTCATAACGCCGTTAAGGTTAAGGTGGTATTCTTATTCATAAAGGACATCATTATCAGCCTGATTCCGTATACTGCAGGACATAGGCCTCCTCAATTAGATGTAACTGAGCTGGATGTTCAGCTCTTCCTATCCAGCCACGCTACGGATATTAGTCCACCTAGCTAGAGGGCGCCCTACACGACGTTTGCATCTCCACTCGAGAACACGTCTACCCCAACGGTCATCGGTTTTTCGACAATTGTGACCTGCCCACTGCCACTTCAGTTTCTTTTAGGCTATGTCAACAATGCATGAGGGTGCGAGTTTTTTGTGGATTTTCTTTTTTTGGGTAGGAAAACCACCAATTGAATTATCTTGCCCAGCCTTGGGCAGCGTGGTTAGTGCAAAGATTCTTAACAAAACTAAAACTTTGCCCGGCGTGCGGCAATATACACGTCCCCACATCAAATTTTAAACTGGTAAAATGTATGTATGTGCTGTATGTGACATTGTATATAAAAAGAGTTGGATGTAGGTAGTTACCGTTGCTTCCACCCCTTGAGTAACGCGCCCCGCTTGTACAGATGTCCCTCGTGCGTCCTGTTCTCCGCCACGTTCGACGAGAACTGCTCGTAGTACTGTTGCGACGACGACTGCAGGGTCGACACTCCTGCAACCAGAGAATATTGTATACCGTGGGGGGAAATCAAAGGTAACCTTCTTTGAAAGTTACATTTCTACTAAAACCTAACTAGGTTCCGGTGTACTCTGTGAGGTCATCGTCTTATATTTAAATCGTTAAAACCCTAAGCGAACACCGCTGTCCTCTCTTTTACACAGTCCCTTGTAAGACATCATTTAAATTCTTGGGGATTCGGAATTAGGGTGTATTTGTAAAACGAAGATATTTACATTAAAGGCTAATTTTTCAATGATTAGATAAAAGTTATCTGGGAAGTAATTATGATTCTGTCGCGTCAGAATGTTTGAATAAGAGAGAGACAGCAACAATTTTATTGCTCAGTCTGAAAAATTAGTTCTAAGATTTATTAATGAAATAAGCTAAAAAATTGCGATTTGAACGAAAACTTGTTTACACAAAAAAATTCTTTGTGTATTACATTATGTAATATGATTTTGAGATTTTTGCACTTTTTGTCAGGTCATTTACGGGACTAATTAAGTAATAGTAGTAGTAAGTATTTAAAAGTGCGTATTGGTTTTTTTGAAATGATAATATGCGGTCTCAACTTAAATGACTAAATTGCTGTGTAGTTGAATTATGAACGTACCAGCAGAGAGCGGGGCGCAGAGCGTGTCGTCGGGCGGGGGCGGCGCCTTGTACTTGGTGCAGGGCGGCGCCCAGGCCTCCGCGCAGCGCTCGTGGCACGACGCGCCGCAGTCCACGCAGCGCACGCCCGTCTGGGGACAATGGCAAATTATTGCTTACTTACATAACACCAGCAAACCTTCATAAAGGACACGGGCGGAAATATATGAATTATCAAATATACAGTGTGTTAGGAAAAACAAGGGACGTATCTAAGGACCCGATTCTAATCCGAAGTAGTATATTTCATTAATAGTACGGAATGGCTGTCATTGCAAAGAGTTACAGTTGCGAAAAAAAATAAGCAATTTAATCAAATTAAAAAACAACTAAACTCGCGAAGAATATTTCGGAAAATGGCGCCAACCGTAGAATGTAAGCGGTTTTTTCACCCATTCTGGTAGGCAAAGGGAACTGCCCATACAGCCAAGTCTTGAGTGCTTAGTAAATATTTTTTTCTCAAGTTTTGTACGAATACAATTATGACATTTTTGTTTACTACCGTAAAGACCGTGGCCACATTTCGCAGTGTTCAAAGACAGATAACAAAAACCTAAAAACCTGCAATACTTAAACCATTTACGAACTTTATGAAATGAAACTAATATTTTCTGGTTTCTTTTCCTCAAAACAATCATTGTTATAAACTATTTTTTTTTTTCATTTAGACTAAAATACTTTATACTTCATGCATAATTTGATATGTACATTAGGCGGACTTAATGCATTGAGCATTCTCTACCAGTCGACCTTTGGGTGATGCAGAGAATCCAGTAGTAGATGCAAGAAGCAAGCGAAGTAGAAGTTTACCTTGAGGGGTCCCCAGAGCAGGTCCTGGCAGTGGTCGCAGCGCGCGGGGGCGGCGGCGGCGGCGGGCGCCCAGCGGTGGGCGGGGGCGGGGGGCGCGGGGGGCGCGGGGGGCGCGGCCGCCAGCCGGCCCCGCACCAGTACCTCCAGCGTGCCGCGCTTGTGCACCGCCAGCGTCGCGCGACGGACCACGCCCGACGACATCGACGAGTTGCGCTGCGAGGATGAAGGTGATGTTGTAGTCTTAGTAGTTAACTTTTTGACAATAACACCCAGTTTCTGAAAGGCCGTTAAAATTAACTAATCTCCTGTTAAATCTCTTGTCAAGTCATCTGATTGGTTGATGATAATTCGGTCAACCAATCAGATGACTTGACAAGAGATTAAATTGATTTTAACATTGATCGGCCTTTCGGAAACCGGGTGTAAGTCTTACAAACCAAAACCACCAGTAGTCAATTTTATGCTATGTTTCCAACTAGTCAAATTCAATACAATATTATATTATATTTTATCCAAATGTCAAAAACGATACTTTTCTATGAAATTTGTATAAAAAACTGAATTATGATGTCATAGCTTTTTGAGTCAAATAACTTACTTATTTCTTTGAAAAAAACAGTAAACTATGTAAAACTTAGTGTATCGATCTATCGATGAATAAAAGTATCATTTTTCAATAATCTATCATATCAAACGTCGAATTAATTTATTTTTGACCTCTAGGAAACTACCCGATTTCTATTGATAAAAAAATAGCTACAAATCTTTATTTAAGCAATACAGATTTATAAATTCGGAGCCGAAGACATACACATAATAAAATTTCTTAGTCTGCAGCCAAGAATTCTGAGCAGAAACAGTAAGACTAAGTACTAACCAAGCACTATCGAAATTAACGTAACTTATCCAAGAACAACCTAACTAAAATAAGTTCTACGTTAAAAAGGCCCAATAAAGTTGAACGTGTACCTCCGTACTAACCTGTAGCTCGAGTGTATTGGGCAGTTCGAGTTGGTCCCAGCGCACGCGCCACTTCTGCGGCAGGTGGCCCAGTTCCAGCTCCAGCTGGCGGATCCTCTCCAGCAGGCCCGTGAACGAGTCCGGCATACAGCGGGCTATGCTGTCGTAACTAAGACAAAACAATAAACAAATGATAAAAAAGTTAGTAAAAATATTGCACTTTTGCAAGTCAAAGTGATCGTTCTCCGGAAGACGTCCACTGCTGAACAAAGGCCTAGGAACGACTCGCCACATGCCATTGGCTCGCCGCGATTCTGTCGTCAGTCCATCTAGCGGGAGGCCTACCCACGCTACGTTTATGAGCTCGTAGTCGCCAATCAAGTACTTTCCAAGCCCATCAGCCGTCCGTCCTTCAAGCGACGTGGCCTGCCCGTTGACACTTCAGTGTGCAGATTTTCTGAGGTCGCGGTTTATTGTATGTATGTACATTTCGGATTTTGTCGCGCAGAGACCCAAGAATAGCCCATTCCATTGCCCGCTGAACGACTCTGAGTCTTTCTAGAAGCCCAGAAGTTAGACTATGTCTCAGAATCATACGTCATCACCGGCAACATCTGCCAGCATCCTGGTCTTTAACACACTGTAGAATTTTCAATGAAAAGACATCGCGTCACTTCCCGAACGCCGCCCATCCGAGTTGGATTCTCGAAGAATTCTTATTAAGAATCCAAGTCAAAGGATTCCAATAAATTCAGATAAATATAAAATAACATACCCGGCAGTAACGACCCTGCGTTGAGGAGTGCGTGGCTCGGGCTCCGAGGGCGCGAGGACTTCGAGGTCGTAGGGCGCGCCGTGGGACAGTTCCTCGCTTGTGTAGTACTGCCAGACCTCCAGGGCACTTATTGACGATACTGGACGGAGGACCTACATCGATAGAAGTGGGAATTAAATATGTTTTCTGATAAATTCTAGGAAATATTGTTGTGCAATATTGCGTGAAATTTTACGCATTTTCTGCTTTCAAAACGTTTGAAAAAATGATAATTTGTAATGGTACTTGATTTCACAAGGAAATATAAGAAATCACATTTTTGTCACCACAACTGAGTGCTTTTAACACAATGTTGATGCGCAAATATTTTACGGAATTGTGCAAAAAATGGAGTGGAATTCTTTGCCGGAATCTGTGTTCTCCGAAGGGAAAGGGGTATAATCTGGGTGTCTTCGACGCCCTAGCAAATAGTAGGTCGCATAATCGCTAACCACCAAATGAGATAGTGAACAAAGACCTGGCATTTAATTGTTAAATTCTACTCAAACAATGTTGGAATACAAATTTTTGAACATTGGCTTTTTAAATCTAATAACTTCATCATTCACTTGTATTTCAAAGATCACTTACAGGATTATCCAAGTCGGGCGTGTACAAGAAGTTGTAGAAGATGGGTGACTTTTGATGGTGTCTGTCGATGTAGTCGAAGAGTGAGTGTCCGAGTGTGGGGGCCCGGGGGCCCGAAGACCCTCCGGCGCACTCCTCCTCCGACCCCGCGCCCGCTTCTCCACCGGCCTCGTAAAGGTACACCTGTAACGATTATTAGTAAAAATAATCCGATTTTTACATTACATACATTGCCTCTGGGTTAAGACGACGTTATAAATAAAAAAATTAAATACGAATGAAGACTAAACAACATAAATAATGGAAACAAATTTTCTTAAGAACCCTTAAAGAATCTTCAAATATGTCAAGTGGTATTTTAATAAAAATTCGTACAATACGCGCATCTTAACCAACCCTATTTTGTAAATTGTACCGATTGAATAACAAGAATTCGTTATTGCGCAAACATTTAGTAATACTGTGCAAACGTCGAAATGTATTGCGCAAACATTTAGTTTGATTGCGCAAACGATAAACATTGTTGCGCAAACCTTTCACATTCAAATACAAATATCATAAAGTCCATTTCGTACATACCATTCTATTAGTATCAGCCCGCTTATCATCCGCGGCAGTAATGCCTAGATCTGCCCTCTGTGCCTCGTTGTCCAGCAGGAAGGATCGGAACCTGCACGACACGCAGTGGTACGCCACGAAGCGTAAGTAGTACTCGTTGAACTCGAAGGCGAGGGGAAACTGTTTTTGCAACTGTAAATAAAACAATTATTAAAGTTTAAAAAAAATACTTTAAGCCCTTCAATCGTCGTAATTCAAGATGAACAATAGGTGCGCGAACGATAGCGTTCGCTTGGGGTTTAATGAATTAAAATAATAATAAGAAATTTTCTGATTGAGCTTCTGCCAACGGCTTCGCCCGAGTTCCCGGGATAAAATATAGCTCATATGTTATCCCAGACAAATATAATCTATCTCTATGTCAACTTTTATTAGGATCTGTTCAGAGATTTTCGCGTTTTTTACAAACTTTCATATATACTTTCATATTACACACACTCAGAACCTTTCATATTCAAATGATATACCAAGCTTACATTTCATCCTATGTCGTGGGTGCGTTAACAAACGGTACGGAAAACGAACCAGCTCCAACTCCCACAACAGCCGGAACATGAACTGTGGCGTCATAAAAGTGTCATGTTATCAAGAACTGACCTGATGCACAGCATCCAAGAACATGAGGAAGGTAGGCGTGAACCCTTGCTGGGGCGTGGCTCCAATGTTGGACCTCTGCTGGAACTTGTGGCCCAGGGCCAGCCACTCCTTTTCCACTAGGATTCGGAACCCTTCAAGCGTGCGGTAGTATGGCTCCAAACAGATCTGTGCTAAAGACGATATCTGGAAGACAGAATACGAATTGTTTTTAAAATTTATTGTGAAACATATAAATTATTATTATTTAGCTTTTTATAAATTATTGAGGTTATCGGAGGCCCAATCCCTTCCCCTCCCCCAATCCTTAAATATCCGAAACCCTTATCCCTAAAAGGCCGGCAACGCACTCTTTGGTTTTGAGGCTTGCGAGTGTCCATGATCCAGATACTCAAGTGGCGATTTATTGTGAAACCTGTGTGAAGACACACAGGTTTTTTTTTCGCCTTTCTTTCTTTCGTTGCGTTCTGACCTTTATGTTTCAATTTTTAAAGTCTATAAAATAGACGACATGCGTATATTTTTGGTACAAAGTCTATTTTATCTCAAAGTCTAATTATTCTAATTTCATGGATAGGTGAGTGACATCTACAATGTTTTTTTTTTTGTTAGGTAATTCGGCAAACCAGCATACGGATTACCTGTAATGGTAAGCAATCGGCGCCGCCCACGGAGGTCCGCAACACCAAAGGAATTATGATTGCGTTGCCGGTCTTTTGAGGATAATTATTTCGGATATTTAGGGATTGGAAAGAGATGAGCAAGGGGAAGTGTTGGGCTTCCGGTAACGTCACTCACACGGCGAAACAACTCTGTTGTTATGTCACGCCGGTTTTCTGCGAGGCCGTGTTATCTCTCTAGTGGAGAGGATTAGGTCTCCCACACTTGATGATGATGGTGGTGATGATACATAGAACCTTAGTTGACGTCCATCTGTAGATATAAAAATGCTGATGATGATGAAAACCAACCTGCGCAGTGGCATCCCAGCCGTCCTCCAAGGATAGTAGCACGGAGGACCCCTGCAGGTCCAGCAGGTCTACCACTGCACCCGACAGCTGGAACAACTGTCTCAGCTGCCATAGCCAACCTGACTCTTCTATCAACCTGAAGGAGATAAAATAATTTCTACTATTAATATGATACTATATAACGTACGCGGACAAATTGAAGGCGTAAAACTAGGTACCGTGTCAATTTTTTTTTTTTTGTTTGTTATTATCTACACATAAACGCGTAAAATTACTAACAGTTTTGATATACTTCGTCGGTCTTATTATAAAATAAGGTTTTTCTTTAGCCAGTTTTTTTATTTCAAACTAGCTGGCTCGGCGGACTCCGAATCACCTTATTTTTTTGGACTTTTTAAACCTGACTTTTACAAATATTTCGAGACTGAAATTAGCCAAATCGGTCCAACTGTTATCGAGTTTTAGCAAGACTAACGAACAGCAATCTATTTTTATATATAAGAAGAAGAAGATTGTAAGAATGTGACAATAAGATTCAAAATACAATACTTGATTCAATAGTTTAAACCTAGTCTAAATATACATCTTGTTTTGAAATAAGGGGGCGTGAGTTCAACCCATGACCTGTGAGCGGGGATAGACGCGAAACAAGCGAAAGACGTACGCATGAGCTTGTCCGAGACATGTATCAGTACAGCATACCTGAGGAAGCCTGGATGGTCGGGCGCGGGGGGCGCGGAGGGCACGGCGGCGCGCATGAGCTTCTTGAAGGCGTGCTTGGTGGCGCGCGCGTCGGGGTACTCGGCCGGCACCAGCTCTGCGCCCGCGCAGCAGGGCTGCGCCCCGCCCTTCTCGCACACCACGTACAGGGACGCGCGCCGTCCTGCGCCGCCGCCCCCGCCCTCGCCGCATACTGGACGATACACACGTCATATTCATTATGAGAATCATTTATAATACGGTAGTTTCCAATTAGTTCAATTCAATACTTTTATCCAAATGTCAAAAACGATTCTTTTCTATTAAATTTGTATGAAACATAGTATTTCTTAAAAATTAGTTAAAAATAACAAAAATTTTGTATGGATGATTAAATAATAATTTAGGATAATCATTTTTCAACATTTTAATTGTATTAAAACTTAAAATCAATTTATTTTTAACCTAGGAAACTCACTCAATTATTCCTGTGCATGTATTTAAAACTACTTCCTAAACAAAAAATAAAAAATACGTATCAAGATTGACTTTAAATTAAAATTATCTCAACAAAAAATAGCACACGAAGTAATATTTAAATAACGACATGGATTCAAACATTTTTTAGTAAATACAATAAGAGTTTAATATTGAAGTAAGGTAAAAGAGTGTCTAACCGGAGTCTGCGTCAGCGGTGGAGAGCCTCTGTCGGGGCGCGTAGAGGTCGAGATGTGAGGGCTGGCGGCGGTCCTTGAGGGACCCCCAGCGGCCGAAGTGTCGCGCCCCGCCCGCGCCGCCCTTGCCGCCGCTGTTGCGACCCAACACGCTGTTTATTCAACATCTTTAATCGTATCGGATATATTTCTTGTAGATATATTTTTTTTTTTTTTGATAAGTCTCCAAACTAGCTGACAGATTACCTGATGGTAAGCAATCGGTAACACCAATAAATAAACACACCTAGACGAATTACGAGTGCGTTGCCGGATTAGGGTTTCGGAGATTTATAGATCGAAGAAAGATTGGGATTCCGGCCTTACTCACACGACGAAACACAACGCTGTGGTTGTTTCACGCCAATTTTCTGTGAGGCCGTAGTATCACTCCGGTCGAGCCGACCCATGCCTTAGCTCCTTAAATATCCGAAGCACTAATCTCCAAAAGGCTGGCAACGCACTCATAACTCCCATGGTGTTGTGTGTGACCATGGGCGGCGTTGATTGCTTACCATCAGGTAATCCAACCGGTTGTTAGCTTATCTCATAAAAAAAAAGATTACTTTGTCTGATCGGAAGACCCTCTTTTTCAGATCTTAAGGAAAATTGTTATGTATTTCCAAACGTATGTATTAAAAAACTAAATTCAATAAATATTTTAAACAGAATTTAACGAACTCTTTTGATAGAAGAGAATGTTAATAATATCCTTAAAATTTGGAATCTTCCAATAATTTCTATAGAAGCACTCACCCAAGTGTTCCCGCAGCTTTCGTCAGTAACGGGGTGTGTGTAGCCTCTCGCTGGTCCTCACAGCAGAGGAGCAACGAGTCGAGACTCAAACTTGAGTCTTCCAGGTCACCGCGCGACGCTGGCGTGCAAGCAACCAACGTTGCTAGGTACCGTTCCTGATAACAACATAGTGTTATGATAAAGACTTTATTAGAAGTTATGCGCCTAAAAGGGGTAATATATTAATGTGTCATGTAGCGCCAGAAGTATCAGTTTCATGGTTTTATAATGGTTAGAGATATACGTGATGTTAAAGTATGAACACGTAAAACGGTAGTTTCCAACTAGACCAATTCAAAACTTTAATCCAAACGTCAAAAACTATACTCTTATATGAAATTTGTATGGAAGAGTTACGATGTCATAGTATTTTTACGTCAAACAGCTTACTTATTTCATTAATTAGCTACAAAATATCTAAAACTTAGTATATCGAGCCATCGATGAATAAAAGTATAGTTATTTTTCAATATTTTATTGTATTGAAATTTATTTTTGACGTAGAAAACTACCCAATTGTGGGAGAGCCATAAATTTGCTAATAGATTCGTCTCTTTTAAATAAACATCATTTAGCATTTAAATTTTAGTTCATCATGGGGCAAACAAATCCTAAAGCTACTTTAACGCCATCTAGAGTATACAAAAACACCTATACTATAAAAAAATATGTAATAAACTTTTCAATCTTGGTAATCCGAGACACAATAGAAAAACAATAGGTGTACGAACGCCGGCGTTAGTTTGGGGTATGAACCAACACGACATATTTCACAAAAAAAAATCGAATTTACCTGTTCTAAGCTGGACGTCGTTTCGGTGCCGCTCTGCGCGTTGCCGGGAGTTTGGTGACTCGCTTTCAACATTCCCATGACTCCTTTATGGTGGGGGGCTGCCGATCTGTGAGAAATAGGAAAAATATTTCGTAAAGGCGGAAAAAAAATAATCAGCCATAGGCTAAACAATGTTTGTTTTTTGCGCGGATAGCATTTTAGCGCAAATGTTAAGCGTAACATAATTTTAAAAAACTCAATTAATCACTTGTTAATAATAGTAATGAAAAAGTCACAGTTTTGTAACAGGTGTCATTACGTGCCTTATTGCCGTGGGATTAGAGCCATTTTATGAGGAAGTTTGTTGAAAAAAATGTTTACCTGGCCAATAACGCGTGTGTCCGTGGATGTCTCCATGTGATGACGGGCAACCGTCCCTGCCTGTAACACCTCGACACTCTGCGCAACGAGTCGTCGCCAAAGCTCTCCGGTACTGGTATCACGGCTGGGTAACTAGGTGCAGAAGATACATTTTAGACTTATTTAGGTGTAAAAGTGATATATATGTGGTTGAATTATTAAGCGGTGTAGGGTTGTTTTCATATTTGGAGGTCTTAGTATGATGAATGCATCAGATGCTAATAATGTTACAAAATCATTATCATCTTTTAGTTTAGAGTACCCTTTCTCGAAGAAGAGGAAATATCAATATGTATAGTTAACCCAATAAATTGAATAGTTTACACTAACGATTAGGTACTAGCGGCACGCCCCCGCTTAAGAAGGATACTATTTTCAAGATTGCTTATTTTCAAGTTTGCACAGAATATATTTTCATGTGTATCTTGTTCTGTCAATGACAGAAAAACAAAGAATTGGCAATGTTGGTTTAGGCATTGTCGAGTTATATGCTTACCAACATTTTTTGCGATTGAATTTTATACACAGTCTGTTAGGTTAAACGAGGGACATAATCTTTCGTTTAACCTGACACACTGTATATAAAATTGACTATTTGTTTACATTAATTGTAACCATATTGAGAGAGAGATTATATGTGTATGGTATATAGACGAAGTTGCGTTTACCTCCTGCAGAGCGTGTAGACGGCGTTGGCGTGCGCGAGTCGGAAGGGCGCATGCGCGAGCCCTAGTCGCTGCCAGTCGCGCGCGTAGCGGCGCTCGCGCAGTCGCTCCAGCGTACGCGCCGCAGACGCGCCCCGGTCCGCGCCCTCTAGCGCACCCAGCTCTAACTCTTCCACTACGAACGTAACACATTCTCTTTTACATGGAGACCGCCATCAAGTGTGGGAGAGCCAAGCTTTAGCACAAATGGGTCGGCTTGACCGGAGTGATACCACGGCCTCACAGACAACAAGTATTCCCAATCCTTAAATTAAATATCCGTAACCCTCTTCCCCAAAAGACCAGCAACGCACTCATAACTCCTTTAGGGTGTCCACGGACGACGCCCAATCCTTACCATTAGATAATCCGCCTCCTCATTTGCCGAGTGATACCACCAACATGTCACTGAAACCCAATCCTCCCTCCCCTTTTCCACTTCCCAAAATTTCCAATTTCTAAACCTCCAAAAAGTTGGCAATGTATTTGTGCTTCCTCTGGTGTTGCAAACGCCAATGAACGACGCCGATCACATAATCAGTTCAGTTTGGTCGTGTCAATTTGTCACATAACAAATTAACATACTCTTGTACGTTACTATATAATACTACGTGATTTATCAATACGGTAGTTTCCAACTAGTCAAATTCAATATTTTTATCCAAACGTCAAAAACGATACTTTTCTATGAAATTTGTATGAAAAACTGAGCTATGACGTCATAACATTTTTGCGTCATATATGTAGTTTGCTTATTTCACAATAATTAGCTAATAAAATCTAAAACTTGGTGTATCGATCGATCGATGAAAAAAAGTATAGTTATTTTTCAATATTTTATAGTATTGAAACATCGAATTAATTTATTTTTGACCTAGAAAACTACCCAATTAGATTATAATACAAAGATATGTCAAAAACAAAGAAAACTTAAATCTTATTGAGCAAAGAAATGTTAAACGAAATGATAAAAATAACTTTACAAAATTTAAGTGTGTTAATTTTAAGTGTGGGAGAGCCATGCTTCGACACGAGTGGGTCGGTTCGACCGGAGTGATACCACGGCCTCACAGAAAACCGGTGAAAAACTAACAGCATAGAGTTTTGCAGTTAGTGAGGTTACCAGAGGCCCAATGCTTCCCCAATCCCTTAACCTCCAAATCCCAAATCCCCAAAAAATCGGCAACGCACTCGTAACTCCTCTATTGTTTCAAGTGTCCATGGGCGACGCTGATTGCTTACCACCAGGTATATCAAGATCGTTTGCCAACCTATCACATTTAAAAAAAAATGCCAAAAACCGCCACCAAAAAATAAAGAAAAAAATGCAAGTAAAAACTAAATAAGTAACATAAAAATAAAGCGGTAAACTAACTTGTAGAAAGCGACTCACAGGACAGCGTGTCTGCGGACAGCGAGGACATGAGCGGCGGGGACGTCAGCGAGCGCGCGTCCGCCGACGGCAGGACGTACTTCTGCCGCTTCGACGGCTTCGGCTTCAGCCCGGCGCGGCGAGCTGTCTTCAGGAGGGTCTTCTTTGCAAAGCCTCTGTTTTGTGGGAACGTATTTATATTTCAAAACGTGTATTTAGGTTTACATACAAGGATTCAAGTTTAAAATCAAACGTTATTGGACAGGAGGAGGACAAACTATATTTAAAAGAGATTAATACGTAATTTGAAATTTGTATAAAAACCTAATTTATTTATTTATTTTAATTTTTTTATTTAAAAAAAAACGTAGTCCCACACTAGGATTTTCTCCTGTGTCGTGGGTGCGTTTACAAACATTCAATTTCACATACAAATCACACCCAGACCCGAAACAACAATTTGTGGATCACACAAAGTGTTGTTCCGGGCGGGAATTGGACCCGCGACACGTAGAACGGCAGCCAGTTGCCCAGCCACCGCACCAACCGTGCAGTCATTATTGTGATGATCAATATTGAGGATACCCATTTTTCTAAATATTTTTTTTGTATTGCCACTACATGTCAGTTGGTATTCAGACAGTGAATATCTTCATTCACTGTTGAACAAATACTTCCGTTTTGACCCAAGGATATTTTCATATTCCCAATTCTTTATTCGAAGTCACAGAGCAAACGGGATTGGATAGGGTTTTTAAAAAAAAAATTAACATGGTTTAATTTTATAAGTTTTACTTCATTAAACCTAAAGTGGACGCCGGCGTTCGTGAAACTATTATGCTTCTATTGTGTTTTGAATTATTTAATTTTACATGTTAAGAAGGGTCCTTCAAAATTTTAATCCCGAAAACGTTGGCAAAGTACTCGTAAGTTCTCCGTTGTTGTGGGGTCCATGAACGACACTGGTTGCTTACCATCAGGTAATATGCAAGCTCGTTTGCCGTCGTGTTACCTACATAAAAAAACCAAGTAGCCAGTAGGGACTGGGCGGGAAGGATTGTCAGACTGTAGTAGTGAGTATAGTATAGTAGTGAGTATAGTGTCAGACTGTAGAGTGTAGTCTTATTGACTAAAAACTCCTTCGTACCTTGTAGGAGCGCTGTACGTACTTGACTGTATTTTTTTTGTGAGGGGAAAATCATCAAATTTTAATGACTTCTCCCGCCCAGGGCCGGACGGGAGGGTTGTCTCCCTCTTTGCGAGAATAACTGGAGAAGGAGAAGACGGCGTCCCAGTTCCTGTGACAGTATATACGTACTTGAGCGTGTGATGTTTGGGCATGTGGTGGGGCGCGGGCGGGGCGGAGCGCGGCGCGAGCGCGAAGTGCAGCATGGCCTCGCTAAGGCCTTGTATACGTACTTGAGCGTGTGATGTTTGGGCATGTGGTGGGGCGCGGGCGGGGCGGAGCGCGGCGCGAGCGCGAAGTGCAGCATGGCCTCGCTAAGGCCTTGTATACGTACTTGAGCGTGTGATGTTTGGGCATGTGGTGGGGCGCGGGCGGGGCGGAGCGCGGCGCGAGCGCGAAGTGCAGCATGGCCTCGCTAAGGCCTTGTATACGTACTTGAGCGTGTGATGTTTGGGCATGTGGTGGGGCGCGGGCGGGGCGGAGCGCGGCGCGAGCGCGAAGTGCAGCATGGCCTCGCTAAGGCCTTGTATACGTACTTGAGCGTGTGATGTTTGGGCATGTGGTGGGGCGCGGGCGGGGCGGAGCGCGGCGCGAGCGCGAAGTGCAGCATGGCCTCGCTAAGGCCTTGTATACGTACTTGAGCGTGTGATGTTTGGGCATGTGGTGGGGCGCGGGCGGGGCGGAGCGCGGCGCGAGCGCGAAGTGCAGCATGGCCTCGCTAAGGCCTTGTATACGTACTTGAGCGTGTGATGTTTGGGCATGTGGTGGGGCGCGGGCGGGGCGGAGCGCGGCGCGAGCGCGAAGTGCAGCATGGCCTCGCTAAGGCCTTGTATACGTACTTGAGCGTGTGATGTTTGGGCATGTGGTGGGGCGCGGGCGGGGCGGAGCGCGGCGCGAGCGCGAAGTGCAGCAGTACGTGGTCTGGATGCCGCAGTCGACACACCTGCTTGCGGAACGACTCCACCGCCTCGCTGCTCACCTCCTCGTCCAGGGCCACCTGACGACACATACTTATACTGTAATACACATCATACACACCACAACGGGGGTCTTGGTGGATACCTAAGTCAGTTCTTTTTTTTAATACCATCTGTGATTGGACAAAAGTGCCACAATCTACATCAGCGCCACCTAGTAATAGTGAGCATTTTTTTATTGTTTTGTAATCAAACGATTGTTTCAAATGGAAATATTAATTCAGAAGATAAAACATTCTCAGATTGACTAATAATTGATTTAAAAACGAAACGAATAACAAAAAACTTCTTAATACATAATTTCAACCGTTGCTTATTCGACCATTAATATTTAGTAATTTTACACCAAGAACAAAAAAAAGAGATTATTAAAAACGCAAAAAGTAAGTAAAGTAAGCAATTTTTGATATTTTTTGTCGGTCTGTCCTCTAGTGAATCTTTTATAAGGATGTCTTACCTTGATCAACTGGAATGTAGCGGACCTAAGCTGCAAGCCCTCCTGTAGCGACTGCTCTAAGTGAGGCAGGTAGTGCGTGCGTACTTGCTTCTCTCGCGTCAACGAACACAACGGGAATGATCGGACCACTGTCTGCTCGCATGCTGTACAAACAAACATTATTAATTACATTTTTTTTTATTGAATAACTAGCGGCCTACCCCCGCTTCGCACGGGTCCAACTATCTCGTTAACAACAACGAAAGGCTCCGTTTTTCCCAATTTTCCCCCCTACTTTTCTATTATTTTCTTCCATAAAAACCTTCTCCTGACTATAATAAATACAAATTGGTCCAGGCGTTTTTGAGTTATGCGCTTACCAACACATTTTGCGGTTCATTTTTATATTATAGATATAACGACTTACGGGAATTAAACAAGAAAACTTCTACTAGTTCGAAGTCATAATGGGACTCTAACACCCGGTTTCCAAAAGGCCGATCAATGTTAAAATCAATTTAATCTCATGTCAAGTCATCTGATTGGTTGACTGAATTATCAACAACCAATCAGATGACTTGACAAGAGATTTATATTATTATTTAGGAGAAACCTAGTTAGTTGATTTTAACATTGAACGGGTTTTTGGAATCCGGGCATTAGTAATGAGCAAAAAGGCGCGTCGCGGCGTTCTTCTTAATCGACGTATGTCCAGCGTTAAAATATTTGTTGCAGTATTGCTTAACAGATACCACATTCGTCGTCGCTTGTGTCTGTCAGGCTTCAGGCTCATGAATATGAGTTTAAAGCCTGGTTTAAAGCCTGTCCAAGCCTCACCAAACATCATGAATAAGCTGATTTATATAATAAATAAAAAAGTTTGTATAGCATTATAATCAATAGCGATTTTTGTAAATATAATATTTCTTAATTTTATTAGCGCAATATCTTCAATATATAGTATAATGACAAATTACTGTAATCTATACAGTTCAGTTAATAATACCTTGAAACAACTCAAACATTCAATTACAAACATAATCATAATACTTAAGATCAGATAAATGACAAATCGTGGACTAAGGTGTAAGGAACTTCGTTTTTCATCGTTACTAAATTTACTTTCTTATATCTTAGTCAAATTATTTCGCGTTAAAAAAGTTCAATAATCTCACCGTATGGATCAGTAGGTGTGCCCTTGAATATAAGTCTGTAGTTAGTGAGGAACAGAGCGCCCTCTGCCGGCAGTAGCGCGGTGTTACGGCCGTCACTGACGAGGTAGGCGCGTAACGCGGGGACGGTCACCGTCTCGCCGGGAACCAGCGCTGGGGCTACTATACGTGGCTGTAAATAATATACATTTATTAAGGATTGGGTTGCGCAAGACTCTTACTGATATTGTAATTGCGAAAGTTACGATGTTTGGATGTTTCTTACTCAATCACTCCAAAACGGCTAGACGGATCTGGATGAAATTTGGCACAGGCATAGGATACACTCAAAGACTACGTTTTATTTTATTATTTTAAAGTAAGAAGCTAGTAAATACTAGAAACATTCAACATTAAGGCGTGATGGTTCAGATGTTAAGGTAGCCGGTTCTTACACTTATTAGGAAATGGGTTGCGCAACAATAAATACCAAATACACATTAAATATCAAGTCGTGATGGTCCAGAGGTTAAAGCACCCGGCAAGCAATCTTCATTTATTCGGGAATCGGTTGCGCAATAATAAATACTAGTACTAGTATTATTATTTATTAATGAAACATTAAGTCGTGGTGCCGTAGTGGTTAGGGCTCCCGCTTCTTATGAACGAGGGCGCGAGTTCAAAATCTGGCAATCACCTATGTGACTTTTCTGATTTACATGTACTTCTTAAGTCTATCAGTGGTCACTTATAGGCTAATGATATGATGTGATGTGAAGTCGTTATTTTAAATAATGATAGCTGTTAACGTATTTTTAAACAAATACCAGGTTGAAGTTGTCATTTTCACATTTGCCCCAACAAGTATATTTGAGCAGACAAAAAAATGTAATTGATACTCTATTACATTGTTATACGGTTTACTTTACCTTTTGGACGGGTGGTAATCTTCTACTCTCCCTAGCGACTGCGTCCAACGTCTCTAGATGCATATGCACGACTCCCGGTATCATCTGGTGTAAGCAGCGAACGTGTTCCGCTGTCACACCCCCTTCCGTACAAACCTGAGAAATTTTACAGTTCATCATTAAGGGCTCCGGTGTAACTCGAAACTATTCGATCATCTTCGAAATATTGATAAACAGTAAAACATTACATTATTTTATGGGAGAATAATGACACAAAAGTTAACTGACAAGATTTTTATTGTTTTTTTTATGTCTGTACCTGATGGTAAGCTGTCGGCGCCGCCCATGGACCCCGGAACAACGACGGAGTTACGAGTGCGTTGCCAACCTTTTGGAGATTAGGGTTTGGGAGGTTTGGAGGTTGGGGGAGAGGAAGGATTGGGCAAGATTGGAAAATACTTCAAAGCTTTTTTCGTGGTATAGGTCGGCAAATGAGTAGACGGATTACCTGATGGTAAGCAATGTTGGATATTTAAGGATTGGGAAGGGATAGGGGAAGGAGGAAGGCCTCTGTTAACAAAGCGAAACACAACGCTGTGGTTGTTTCACGCCGGTTTTCTGTAAGGCCGTGGTAACACTCCGGTCGAGCCGACCCATTCGTGCCGAAGCTTGGCTCTTCCATACTTACCTTATCAACAAATCGGGAAACCATTTTGATAACGTTATTCCCAGCCTCGCCCGGGTCTGCTTCCTCGAACCCGGACTCAGCGTCCACGCTGTCCGATTCCGCCACACTGTCAATAAAAACATAATTTAAGCTTCAAGAAACATTGATTATAACTTTATAATTTAATTTTTATTTATTTATTTATTTAAACTTCTTGCAACAAAACATTACATAGGCGGACTTAATGCCGTAGGCATTATCACCAGTCAACCTTAGGGTGATACGGTGAGTATGGTATGGTATTTTTATTGTGATATGGTTGATAAGTTACCGTAAATACTTTTTACACATTTTATTTCTAGTACTTGAGCAAAGAGGAACTTGAGCCGGAGAAATGGAGTTTCCATCAGTTCTTTAATAATCATTTATTTGTTTATTTGCTATATGTGTATACATTGTTTTTTTTATGAATAATAACGTTCTCCGCGTTTAATTTACGTGCTACCAACGGAACGACAGACAAACCGATTTTTGTGCCGTCCTTTTATATGGCATGGCTAAAACAAATGCTTTGTCGAAGTAATTAAAGAAAAATTCTTTACTTTCTAATAAAATCATGTAGCCTATTTAGGTATAGATATATTTCTAGTAAGTAATTTAAATATCTTACCTATTAGTTATACTATTGCTAGCTCTATCAGCGTCGTCGCCTCTGACGTCAGCGCGTCTGCCGGCGCCCTCTAGCGGCAGAAGTAGGTATACCATTCTGTTCGCGTAGTGTATCGCCTGACTGTACAACGTCGACTCTTCGCTAGCTATTAGTTCTCGTTGTTTCTCTGTAAAAAAAAGAATAGTGAACATACCATACCTATTTTTTTCCTTTTTTTGTCAGGGGAAATCATCCAATGACTTCTCTCGCCCAGGGCCGGGCGGGAGGGAGTGTCAGTCTCTTACTGACTAAAACCCCCCTGTTCCTTCTCTTGCTCTGGGCCGAGGTCGCGGTGCCTCATTGCGCTTACCCCGCAACCTAATTTTTTCCTGCGTTATTGACTATGCAAAGAATTGAGTATTTTTTAGTCAAATTGAATTGTTACTACACATCTATAATATAATAATTAATTAAAAACTCAACAACGCTCTAACCAATTTTGTCTGTTATGTTTATTATTTTCAATTGTCAATTATTTTTTGTTATGTTTATTATTTTCAGGACTTTTGTATGAAAGAAACTTTAAGAAAAGTAGAGAGGAAAATCTGGAAATAATTTCCAGGAATGTATAGATGAATATCCGTGCAAAGGGGCAGGCCGCTAGTCAATATATTAAAAAATAATTATTTAATTACAAAAACGTATTAACACGCAACACAACACACACTGGTACAAAGTTCACAGAAAACTGTCGTTTTCGATAAATCGAAATAAAAATTGAATTTGATTACTTGGAAACTTTTAGAATATGTCTGTAAATGAATCCCAACATGTTATTGTTCGACAGTAGCCCGCCAGACATTATTAACTTCGACTATTTGTAGGAACCTCCTTTTCCGATCTTAGAGAACTTTACTCCGAGTTCCCTAAGAATATATTAAATTTCCTTACCTGGAGCCAAACTTGGCCACAGCCTCATCTGTTCGGCTGCAATCTCCAATGCGCTGGGCTCCTGTGCCTTCAGCAGCGATATGTATTCCTCGTCATCCCTAAAACAAAATCATGATTGAAATAAAACACTTTAATGTACTTACACCATACTTCTTTTGTCACCTAAACCGATATCACTGTGTATAGTCGGCGAGCAAGGTTAGCTCGCCGCCCAAATAGAGCCAGACCTGAGTGTACGACGGGTAGCGTTGCAAACGTGCCTCAAAGAACCAATAAACCACCACAGATGGGGCCCAAAATAACCAATGCTTAACCGAGGTCGAGAGCCAAGTGCAATAAGGTACTGCCTCGGCCTAGAGCAGGGATGGAACGGTTAGGTTTTTAGTCAGTAAGAGTCTGACACTCCCTCTCACCATACCCTGGGCAAGAGAAAATATTTGATGATTTTCCCTGCACAAACAAAAACCCAAACTGACAGGCAATACATATTTTTTCATTTTCAGTGGGCGAGGGATTGTAATGTCCTTGTTCCTTCCCCTACTCCAATCATCGTACCTGCACTCTGGCTGGGCGTCGGTCCTAGTTGACCATTCTATGGTGGTTCTTTAAGGAGCCCCATTTATTTAAGACATAAGTCCTTGGACATCCCATATATGCAACTAATATAAACATAATTTATTTGTACACAATTGAAACTCCACTCTTAAGCTTTGCATAGGGTTTAAAACGGCCAACCGTTGCTTCTGTATTTGAAAAAGGTAACAACATAACAAAGAAAATAAATTATCAGCTTTTAATGGATCAGTAATAGCTAACATTTTTTCATGTACTAATTAATTTGCACGTATCTCTCTTACCTAGGACTTGGCACTCTCTGATGGTGTGTGGGGTTAGGCAGATACAGAGCTTTGATATCTCTCTGCACGTCTTGGTAGAACGCCGCCTCCCAAAACTGCTGGCTTGTCCACACTTGGTGTTCCTGATAAAGAATAAATATTGAAAGAATGGAAAAAATTACGAGAAAGAATTAAACTATGTATTGGAAAAAAGTTTGATGAGATACTTATACTACATTTGTGTGTCAGATAATTTCATTCGATTTTGCGACTTACACGACTCCTATTTAGGGTGTAAAATTCAATGACTTTTCCCGTTAGAATAAGGCGAGATAAAGAACTAAGTGATTTTTAGTTCGTAAAAGTCTGTTTATTAACTAAAAATCACCCTGTACCTTCACCCACCAGAGACATTGAACAGCAAATCGTAAGATATGAGTTAACATCGATCTTCTTTCCCGAAAATGTCATGCTCTTAGAAGTTATCCAAACTCTTTTGTTGTTTGCGATTGAAAAGCATAATTTTAGTCTAATTAACAATTGTCGTTTCTGACTGATTCGGAAGTAATAAGGCCTACCTTTTGGGATCAGTAGTGTGGTCTTATGGCTGATCTGACGATGGTGATAAACAGGTATAATTTCAAGATCGTTTTAGAAAACATTATAGTATATCAGTACTGGCTAGTACTAATGTACTAGTGTAAACAACTTTTACCGAGTTGTATGTACTTCCTCATCAAGTTTATTTAGAAAACAATGACATGCGTTGAAGGAAAATCGTAAAGAAAACTGGACTTATAATTTCTAATTATAAGTTAGAAATTGCCAATATGGTTTGAACAAGCGTGGTGATAAATGCTCTAATCTTCTCCGTGTGAGAAGAGGCCTTTGGACAGCAGTTGGCACATATAGGCTGGTTATGTGTGAATGAATGGAGTAATTCTCCCTTATTTAACTGTTCGTTGTTATTACCTGTATGCACATATAAGCGTATTGAATGACTCCGGTGCAGAGTTTTCTGCAGTATGCAGTGGCGAGAGGCAGCATGGCCGCCGCGATTGTGTGCTCATCTAAAGCCGTCGCCGACTGTAGAGCGCAGTTCATTAATCTGAAACAATGAGAATAAAATGAGCAACTACTACTTAACAAAAAACTGCCACTACACTAGCATTTTCTCCTGTGTGGGTGCATAACAAATATATAAATTCACATACACAAGCCACCCAGACCCGGAACAACAATTTGTGGATGACACGAAGTGTTGTTTTATGTGAAAATCGAACGCGTTTCACAGTTCAGCCACCACCAGTTTGCCTAGCCACTTTGCAAACATATTTTTTCAACACACTTCCTCATAAAAGTAGCTTTTTTTCCCACGGCAATTACACGCGTAATAACACCTATAATGAAGCTGTGACTTTTCATTGATATAATTCACAAGTAAGAAATAGTTATTTTAAATTATTCGTTGAGTTACGCTTACAAAAGCTCAAAAAAACAGAAATGATACATTTCAAAAGTATAATATGGTTTGGTTATAAAATATAAATATTCTCACTAACCTAATTACGCAAAATTATTAACAAAATTAGGTGTTACATTTTCTACATAATATACCAATTTGGGTAATAAAATAAAAAAGCCGTAGCTTATAAGTATACACATTAGTCGGTATATGTTATATATTATAAACATTAATTCCAATTTCCAGGTATTAGTTTTTATGCTGTGTTTAGAAAGATTAGGAACCAGTTACTGGGGCAGTGCACTAGTCACAATTGGATAGTTACCTAGGTCAAAAATAAATTAATTCAACCTTTCAATGCAGTAAAATATTGAAAATAACTATATGTACTTTTATTCATCGATCTATCGATACAGTAAGTTTAAGATATTTTTTAGCTAATTATTAAGAAATAAGAGAGCTGTTTGACGCAAAAATACAATGACGTCATAACTCAGGTTTTCATACAAAATTTTATAGAAAAGTATAGTTTTTGACATTTGGATAAAAGTATTGAATTTGACTAATTGGAAACTACCAGGCTAGCGCAATAAAGTACCGTGGCTTCGGCCTAAAGCAGGAGAAGGAACGGGGGAGTTTTTAGTCAGTAAGGGTCTGAGACTCCCTTTCGCCTCACCCTGGGCGGTAGAAGTCATTGGATGATTTTCCTTTCACAAAAAAAGGGCACTAGTCACCTATAAAAAAAACCTAACACCACTACATTAACAACTACCTAACATATCCACCTAATTTCCCTATACAATTAGAAAAAAAAATACTATTTATTACATGGCAATTACATGATTTAAATAACTAGAAAAGGTTACATTTACTACAATGTCGAGAGCACATTGATTGGTATCATAAATATACGCTGATGATGATCACGCTTACAGATACAATTTTTATGGCTACTGATCACGATATGTTTGAAATTCAACATATATATTTGAGTGATGCTATGTGTGTATGATAGTGTGTATACTTCTGTGTAGATACAATGTTTAAGACGTGTGTGTTACTCGGGTTGGCTTGTATCCTACTACAAATAAGGGCTGATGACGATTTTGTAAGATCCTTATTGTGTTTGTTTTTAATTAGAGTTAAAAATATATCACAACGAAAACTTCCCATTACATACACAGATAGTTGTCGGCAATACTCCATAATCCATTTTTTTATAGTGTTAGATGATTAATTTTTTTGTAATTTTTTGAAGTTAATGTGATGATGAAGTTAGAACCAAAATTGTGTATAATAATTTAGTTATCATAAACGCTTGATTGTTGATATTATAAATTAGCATTATCGCTGCTCTAGGCAATTTGATGTATAGAGGTAAGATAACTAGATTGATGCACATAATATTTATATAAAATGTATATTTGCAGGGTCCAGGAGTCTGGAAGGTGATCTTCATAGAGAAATGCGACCAACACAGTCATAAGTTCATTTTCGACATAAAACAGAAGAAAATCAATAGAACTCACGACGGCTTCTACGGAGATCTTAAACTGGACGAATTATTCGACGATAGTTTTGGTGTAGGTTGAACATTATTTTACAAATGTTACTATTATTATAAATGCGAATTGGATATTTGAATGTTTGTTACTCAATCACGCCAAAACGGCTGGACGGATCAGGAGGACATTTGTAATAGGTATAGGATACACTCCGGAATAGGACATAGGCTACTTTTTATCAAAATACCACGCGGGCGAAGCTGCGGGCGGAAGCTAGTAACGTATATTTTTTTTTTCCTAAACAGGTTCAAAGTTATTAATTTCAAAAAGACCAGTATAGGCAATTATGAACATCAAACAAAAAAAAAAAAAAAAAATGTTCATCTTTGTGTGTATCGGTCTGTCCTCTAGAAAGCTACTACGTTCCAACGTGTCGATTCCAATGGAGAAGAACGAGCAAGAAAATCCAGAATAGAGTTAGTTCTAGATATAAAAACGGACTAAAAAAATCATAATCTATTAAGCTCTTTTCCAAAACATCAAGTTTGGCACTTCACGGAACTCTTATAGTAATAAGAACTAAACTAACCTTTTTTAATAAAAAAAAAAAAGAAAAACCTATAAGGCTGCCTTTTCACGTCTTTATTTGATTGCTGCAGTACAGATAAAGTAACTCCGTGTATGAGGGAGGCCGTAATCTTTCTTACCTTCTTCTTAGGGTTGATTTTTCAATAATCACATAAATGTTATCTGAGGAATAAAATTGTTGCTGTCACTGTCTTATTCAAACATTCATATTCATATTTTTTTTACTCAGATTCGTGTAGATATTTGCAAGCACGTGGATGGCGGGTGTAAGCAGTACCAGGTGTTGTCAGACGATTGCTTCATCAACTTCGTAAACAAATATGCCGAGGAAAACGCTAAGGACGCCTTAGCGTGCGCTGGAGTTGTTCCTTCTGAGTTTCCAATAAAGGAGGTAATATATTTTAATACTTGCTTAATACACGGGATTTTCTTGACTGCCCGGTTATCGAATTGGCTGAGTGCCGTGCAACGTGTCGCGGGTTCGATTCCCCTACGGAACAACACTTTGTGCGATCTACAAATCGTTGTTGCGGGTCTGGGTGGTTTGTGGATGTCAATTTATATGTTTGTAAAAACGCCCACGACGCAGGAGAAAATCCTAAGACGTTTTTAATAATAATATTAAAGTTGTTCAAAGGGTCTCTGTTTCGACTTGGCTTCGGCCCCTCGTATGCCTTACAAAGGTCCGGGACCCTGTGGTACCGAGAATGAAAACGTACATACATAATTTAAAAACCCGAATAAGACACTGTAGACCAGAATACGATAAGAATACACAATTTACAGAGATTAAGCATCAACGCTCTCTGATAAACCCGTAACTTTAAAAATGCGATCTCTTTTTCTTCTTCCAAGTGTGTAAATCCGGTAGTTTACAACTAGTCAAAATGAGATCACAACATAGGACGTGATAATGTTTCTGAGTCAAGCATACTTATTTTTGAAAAACTAACTAGTAAAAATGAATGTTTTATAATTAATTGTATTTACAGTGCGGCCGACGTATTTTGACGAGTCTGAAGTTAGCCGATTAGCTATGCAGTACACAATTTTGTTCCTAAAAGATCCATTGCGCAGACGAACGGCTAACTTCAGACTCGCCAAGATACGTCGGCCGCACAGTAAAAGTTTATTTTTTATTTTTGAACTTTGAAACTAATTGAATTCCCGCAAATTGTCGCAGTATAAGTACATTTTGCACTTCAATGAGTATATTGGGTTTGTAGTAAAATAAAAACATATGTCTAGTCCCATAAAATAACTGGTATATAATTTAATTTCACAGGGTGATTATGAGATACATAACTATGTTTTCGACTACTCGGAGCTCCCAACCGACGGGTGGTACGGCGTCTTCTGTGCCAAAGCCATAGTGCTGAAGGGTACCGAAGAGGTTGGCTGCGTGGAGGTCCACGTCGAGTTTACAAAAAAAGAAGACGATGAAGATGAATAGAAAATTATTAATCAAAATGTTATAAAGTTGAGAATACTATTTTTTGAAATATCTAAGTAAATGCATTACGATTATAATTGTTTAATTATTAATAACCTGTTAGTGAGGTTACCGGGGACGCAATTCGCCCCCTCCCCCTAAATCTTTAATCCCCAAATCTCCTATCCTTATCCCTAATAACCTACAAAAAAGATGGAACACACTTGAAACTATTTCGTTCTTCTCCTCCTTAAATAATATCTTCTGATTTATTTCGTTGCGGGATCCAAGACAGTCATTCATGTCCCTGGGACGCGCCGGACTTCAGTGTTCCGGTGTTTTCATGGTTGTATCTACTGGAAATCCTGGCTTGCAGGAGTTGCAGCGGTTTTTGAGTGGTAGTGGCGGAATTGTCCCATTAAAAAAAACACTTGTAACTCCTTTGGTATTACTAGTGTCCATGGGCGGCGCCGATTGCTTACCATCAGGTCATACGTTCGTCTGCCAACTATAAGATTAAACATATAACAGTACCTACTGTCCGTGTACGGAATTAATCTTTATTATCTTGCCTTTATAACAAACTAATACTAATATTATAAAGAGGTAAAATTTGTAAGTTTATATGTAGGGGGTAATCTTTGAAACCGCTGGTCGGATTTACAAAATTCTTTCACTGATAGATAGCTACAATATTCTTGAGTGCTATAGGCTAAAACATCACACTACGATCTGTAAGAGCCGAGCAGCGGGTAAAACCGCGCGAGATTAGCTAGTACCAAATAACTTGATTGACTACCAGAGCGTGGGGCTCTAGCGTTCTCAAGCGCGCATCCGCAAACATTACTTGAAAATGCCTCAAATGTAGAAGCATTTTGTAGGTATTTAATTATTTTGCTACATGCGGAAAAACAGCAACAAAAGACATTCAATGACAACCGATGCCTTAATGATCCAACGGGAGTACACGTGACATTTGGATCATTTTTTCTTATGATATGATCCTTGCTTGATAATACACTTGTGTAATGAAAAGTCACATAATTTCATTTAGACTGCACGGATGGCGCGGTGACTGGGCAACTGGCTTCCGCGCAACGTGTCGCGTTTTCGATTCCCGCATGGAACAACTCTTTGTGTGATCCACAAATTGTTGTTTCGGGTCTAAGCGTGACGTGTATGTGAAATTGTATGTTTGTAAACACACCCACGACACAGGAAAAAATCCTAGTGTGGGGCAACCTCTTTTTTTAAACAAAAAAAAGAAGTAAAGAAGAGAGAAGGACTGAACATCGAGCTCAGTGGCGTGCAATTGGAGAGGCCTATTTCTAGCAATAGCAGTAAGTACTAGAAAGTAAAAGAGGGCTATAAACGTAAAATATTCTATACAAACATAAAACTAGTAAAACAATACAAAAACATTACAGTTGTATTAACGTATAACTCTATTATCCACGTAATAACATATAAGTATAAGAGCGAACGCATGTTAAGAAAAATATAATTTAAATTGGAATATTAGTTAACACTTACGGACAGATCGAGAGGAGCAGAAGTCGGAGAGTAGGTACTTATGTACGACTTGCAAGAAATTGTGAGACAACTCTTTTAAATTTAGGTTGGGACAGCGAAAAAATATCGAAGTATTTATATTATTTTAATAATAAATTGTGAGTAATAATAATAAATACTAAGACTACAAACAGAAAATATTTGTCTGTATAAAAATTGCCACGTAATTAATAAAAAATAAAATGATATAAGTAGACAACCGACTGGCACTTTTTTTATCTTTAAGCTTTGTTTGACGTTCAAAAGAGCTTGTAAGAGTCTGAAATAAATGATTTTGACTTTGACTTTGAATAGGTACCCAAAGGATCGAGAAGAAGGTCGATAAACTATATTACACTAGGAACCATAAGCCCGACAAACAGTAAAAAATATTGAAAACAACGACTAACATACTTACGTGAATAAAACTTAGAAAAGCTCAACTAGTTTCAAGTCATATCGGGACTCTTACTCATAGCAACGGACGTGTCGCTGCAACGTCTCGTACCCGACTGGCGTGACTTCACGTGAATAAGTCGTTATTTTTAATAAACTGTAGTAAACCTCATGATAGTTACTATTCAAAATAACTATTATTATAAATAAATTAAATTTATCAATATCCAGATAGGAACAAAACATTGAACGTACTGTTATAATAAACGCTAAACGTTGACTAATGTTATTAATTTAGTTATTGATAGAGATCAAAATTGCTTGAAACATGTAATGGGAGTTTGTTCTGATGTATATAAAGCGGCGCCAATCCTTCACTGGGAAGTTTCAGGCGATTAAAATGTTGAAGTTTCTATTAGTTCTGACAGTGTGTGTACCGTTCGTGATTAGCTTCTTTCCTGGTCTCATGCTTGTAAGTTTTAAAATATACTTTGTTTTGATTATGCTTAGAAATAGTTCGTATCGTAAGAGTCGTCTAAGGGTCTTTACTTAAAAGCATTTGTCTTTTCGTCTCACCCAAGGCGGGAGGTGCACTACACTACGCTTGGGCATATTGAAAGGATGGACGCTGGAATATCTGGCGAGCATGCTTGGAGAAATCGGTAGAGCGCGCCCTAGATGAACGTAGGCAATATTAAGAAATTGGGACAATTAAAAGTACCCTCACCAGAAGGGATGAAACGAATTATGAATATAAAAGAAAATTTTCAAAATTGTATTTTGTGGCGTTCATTGGTCTTTGTCTATCCTAATGATAGGCGAGCTTGAGGTTATGTATGAATACTACAAATTAAACAGAGACACGTTCGCAGCGCCCTCTTTTTTTCTCTTTTAAACTTTCGGTTTTAAACAAAAAATATTTTTGTATGGGCATAAAACAGCACTTTTACACGTCAACATTATATTTAGATGAAGCTGGCATTTCCTGTCTACTATGAGAAGAAACGCCGATAAAAACTGACGAGGTCAAACTCTGACCTCTTCCTCTCTTTATTTTTTTATGTAATAGGACAGCAAACATGCTGACTGCTTTCCTGATGGTAAGCAATCAGTACCGCCCATCCACACCCGCAACAGCGAATTAATTACAAGTGCGTTGCCGACCTTTTGGGGATTTAAGATGGCGAAACACAACACTGTGGTGGTTTCACGTTGGTTTTCATTCGTGCCGAAGCATGGCTCATTAACTTGCAAATTAATTATTTATTACAATATTCCAGGGTCCAGGACGATGGCTAGTCCTGAACGTAATGACCTGCGACAATCCGGAACAGTACGACTTATTGTTCGACATCAGCCGGAAGAAAATCAACCGAACACACGATTGCTTTGACATTCACATAAATCTGGACAGAGTCATCGATAATACGTATGCTGTTGGTATTGTTTTAACACGTTTTTATTAATTCAAGCTGTAACAAACTAACAACAAACAAACTGGGCTTGAATCCCGTCAAAAGTAGCAATGTTGTGACATTTTCCAAGTTAAATGTACCTTCTATGATTATTTAGACACCACTGAACATACAGTGAATGAAAATATCGTAAATAAACGGGGGTATATACTTTGTAATTCATATTACACATCATCAGCCTATAACTGCCCACTGCATAAAAAAGGTAAAGGTAGGCAAAGGCCTCTACTCACAAGGAGAAGGTTTGAGCATTAATCAACACTCTTACTATTTTTTTAAGTTATAGGTCGGCAAACGAGCAGACGGATTATCTGATGGTAAGCAATCAGCCCATGGACACTCGCCACGGAGGAGTTACGAGTGCGTTGCCGACCTTTTAGGGATTAGGGATTTGGAGATTTAGGGATTGAGGAGGGATTGGGGGAGGGGAAGGATTGGGCCTCCGGTAACCTCACCCACACGACGAAACACAACGCTGGGGGTTGTTTTACGCCGGTATTCTGTGAGGCCTGGTATCATTCCGGTCGAGCCGACCTATTCGTGCCGAAGCATGGCTCTCCGACACTGGACTTACTCAAGGCGGATTAATTGAAATCGTCAATAATTAAAAATTATAAGTCCAGTCCATCCTCACGATGTTTTCCTTCATCGATATTTATTATTGTTTTATAATATTCCAGTATTATAATTTGTAATTATAAGTTTAAAATTGCCAACCCGCCTTTTTTGCTCAGCAGTGGGCACTTATATGCTAATGATGTGGTGTGAATCAATCTATATTTGTCACCTTACAGATCGAAATAGACGTTTATCAGAAGGTGGATGGAGGCTTCAAGTACTACCAAACTATAGCTGACGAGAGCGCTTGCAAATTCCTCATGAGGCAGGCAGAAGCAAACGTCAAAAGGTTACTCGCTTCGGGGAACATCGATCCTCCGGAGTGTCCTTTACAAGCAGTAAGTTTTTTATGGCATACATCAGCAAACATCGATCAAGCAGACATAGCACTTAAGGTTAAGCAATGGCGTCGCCCATGAACAAAGGAGTTAGTTATAAATAATTGAACTTAACAAATTTTAGGCTCATTATCCATGTAAGAAGAGAAGTATTATTGAGATCATACAAGTCAATTATGCATTGCCTTTTAAGTAAACATTTGAATTGTAGTAATTTTTGAGTCTTCCATTTTGTAATGAATGAATTAATTAATTGTATCCATCTAAGTCAAAGTCAAAGTCAAAATAATTTATTCCAACTAAACCATAAACAGGTACTTTTGAAACGTCAAAATAGAATATAGTCTATCAGTCAATTCGTTAGTGAAGCTAGCTATCTATGTATTAGGTGTCGATCAATACTCCAGTGGTTCTCCCACCACCCACATGTCACAATGACGTATGGACTTTATCTCCTACATTTCCAGGGTTTGATCGAGATCAAAAACTACGTGTTTGACTACAGGGAGCTGCCGAAAACTGGTGTCTATGGAACATTCGAGGCTCATGCATACATCGTGTACAAGGGTATCAGGATGGGCTGCACTAAAGTTTTTCTCAACTTTGATGAAGATGATGACGACGAAGATGATGATGATGATTATGATGATGATGGATTATTTTAATTTTTAAGCGAAAATTGTTTATTTCTATCATTCAACTGTTTTTTCTTTTTACTTTTCACTGACTTCCGTAGAAAAAAGGCATAAAATTTGATTTTAGTTCGTGAGTTAAAATATTTTTATTGTGAAAACTGTAAGTACTTATGTAACTAGATACCCTATGATTATAAGGCACACAATGTTTTGAATCAAACTGTGAATTATATCACATTAAATAAAAATGACGCAACAAATAAAGTGAATAGTTTTTTCTTTTGTTACATTAAAGGCAAACATAATATGAAAATTTTATCCATTACTGAAATAAAATATAGGACAGTAAGCTTTGATATTCGTTTTTCAGTTTCTTTTTATACGACGACAATACTTAGTGTCGAAATAAACAATATCTTGTCGAATTGTCGACGAATAACTTTTTTTTTTTGCGATCAGTTGATGGCGCTAGTGATGCGTATTTATTTATTTATTTATATTTCTATACCTAAAAAATCATAAAATCCGGTAGCAGTTCAGTAGACTAATAATTGCGTCACATTTAACAGAGTTCAGGCAGTAGCGATCTCTGATAAAGATCGTTATAAACTGCAACCTCAAATCCATATCTATAGAATAGGTCCATAGACCGCCAGATGTCTTCTATGTGTTCTTTTGACTACCATTTTGAGGAAATAAAACGCGTGATGTTTTGCGATAAATCTAACAATAACAACCAAGTTATCAAACATCTAGAATATTTCAAACACAGATCTATTGCATATTGTTTACATAGTTTTTGAGATATCATCAAAATGGCCGCTTCACATGTAATATGGCGGGTATTTAAGGCTCCACAGGTACAATGTTATGTTAAAACTAATTTAAACAATATGTCGGTTGCGTTGTATTTCGCATTCGCTTTCACTGTTTTGTTTTCAACAGGTTACGGAGATGTTGAGTTATTGGTAAGTTATTTTTTAATCCTTAAGATTTATATTTAAAGTCCATCATCATCATCATCATCAGCCTATAAGTGCCCACTGCTGAGCAAAGGCCTCTTCTCACACGGAAAAGGTTTGAGCATTAATCACCACGCTTGCACAAGGCGGATTAGCGATTTCAAACTTATAATTAGACATTAAAGTCCAGGTTTCCTCACGATGTTTTCCTTCACCGTTTGTCAGTAGTGTCTAAATAATCATAGAAAGTACATATAACTTGGAAAAAGTCACATTGGTACTTGCCAGGTTTAAAACCCGCACCCTCATGCATAAAAAGCGGGTGTTTCAACCTCTGGGTCACGACGACGTTAAATAAATTCCACAAGTCTATGAAATAAAGTCCACAAGTTTTAAATGTCATAGCTCTGCTATTGTAAAAATACATTAGGCAACAAATTTTGGACCAGGGAATATCATCAAATGCTTCCTTAATGACTAGCTTTTACACGTGGAAAAGTGACTTCCTGCAGATTTTTGTTATAAAAACTATCCTATGTCTGTACCAAATTTTTCACCAAAATCGGTGCAGTAGTTTAGGCGTGAGAAAAGACAGACAGAGTTACTTTCGCATTTATAATATTAGTTTGGATGTTTGAAACAAAGTTTGACGCTTTTAACATAAACACTAAACACTGATATAGAATTTATTTTAATCATATTTAATTGTACAGGGTAAAGGCCGCTGGCTGGTACTGACAATGATGAACTGCGAGGATGCTGACCAATACGACATAATACTGACGTCATCGCGGACCAAGATCAACAGGACACACGACAGCTTCAACTTGCACATGGATCTTGATAGAGAGCTTAATTCTTCGTATGGAGTAAGTTCATCATCATCATCATGATCATCAGCCTATAACTGTCCGACTACTAAGCAAAGGCCTGTCTTACACGGAGAAGGTTTGAGCATTAATTGCCACGCTTGCTTAAGGCGAATTGACCATTTCAAACTGTTAATAAGATGTTAATTATTGTAAATGCAATTACGCATGTGTGCACTTACAAATGCACGCTGTAACATATAATTATAAATGTATTGTGTAACGTATTGGCTGATCATAAATAAACAAATGTTATAAGACCAGGTTTCCTCACTATATATTCTTTCAATGCTTGCCAGTAATGTCTAAATAATTTTAGAAACTACATTATAACTCCAAAAACTTGCACAGGCCCTTGCCAGATTTCGAATCAATCTTCACGCATGAGAAGCGGGCTCCTAAACCTCTCGACCACAACGACATTTTAAAAGATACTTTGTATCGCTACGCTTATTCTTCGAAAGCTATATATCACCATGATCAGCCAATCACTGACCGCAAAAAACAACGTTTATTCGATTTGAAACAAGACAAGAAGAGAAACTCAATTAAATTACTAGTTAATTAATTACATACACCCGGTTTCTGAAAGGCTTGTCAACGCTAAAATTAACTAATCTCCTGTTAAATCTCTTGTCAAGTCCTCTGATTGGTTGTTGATAATTCAGTCAACCAATCAGATGACTTGACAAGAGATTAAATTGATTTTAACATTGATCAACCTTTCGGAAACCGGGTGTTAGACTATGTTCCATGTCAGTTTTCTGTGAAGCCGTGGTATTACGCCATTCAAACCATTTCGTGCCGAAGAATTGCTTTTTTTTTTATGAGATAGGTCGTGAAATGAGCGGACGGATTACTTGATGGTAAGCAATCGGCGCCGCCCATGGACACCCGCAGCACCGAAAGAGTTACGAATGCATTGCCGGCCTTTTGAGGATTAGGGTTTCGGATATTTAAGGATTGGGGAGAGATGGGGAAAGGGGAAGGATTGGGCCTACGGGGAAAGGAAAATGATTGGATCTATATGATTGGTATTATTTAATAGAATAAATTGATAGGAATAAAATCCTACTAAGCGAGGGCGGGCAACACCAGTCCAGCGTCAGCTTCAGCTGTCAGATGAAGAAAACTTTGCTTTGTACGCTTTGTACTGTATATGTATAGCCTATTTCTTTAATTATATGTTTATTCATCAGAATGATTGAGTTTTCATGTTAAAAAAAATCCGTTTTGTATTACAGGTCGAACTAGTGATTTATAAAGAAATGGACGGCGGTTTCAAATTTCACCAGACTATGGGAAGTGATAACTTTTGTGACTTCGTAAAGGAGTATACTGGGGAAAACTGGAGCAAACTGCTCTCCATGGCGGGAGTAGACCCACCTGACTGTCCTATACCTACGGTGACTAAACAATACTTAGTGTCGCACTCAGAGACATTAAATGAGTACCTACTTACCACAAAGCAACTTTTCATAAACTAAATCGTTACTTAGGAATAGTTTAAGTAATCATTAAATGTTTCTGAGTACGGCGTATAATATTTTATACGTAACTTTATTTTTCATAAAAGTGTCTGTTAATGTGTTTTCGAAAAGATTGAAATACTATCCAGATATATCGAGAGCAAATAATATGAACGTAAATCACTTTACTGGAAAAATAAATTGAAAATCCTTTCAATCGTGATAATACGGTAGTTTCCAACTAGTCAAATTCAATACTTTTATCTAAATGTCGAAAACGATAGTTTTCTATGAAATTTGTATGAAATACTGAGTTATGACGTCCTAGTATTTTTACGTAACTTAAAAATTAGCTAAAAAATTCACTTACGTATTTCTTAAAAATTAGCTACAAAATATCTAAAATTTAGTGTATCGATCGATCGATGAATGGAAGTATAGTTATTTTTCAACATTTTATTGTGTTGAAACGTCGAAATAATTTATTTTTACCTAGGAAACTACCCATTTCGAGACATAATAGGTGTGCGAACACCGGCGTTCTCTAGGGATTTGATAAATTAAACGTATTTAAAATAAACACAAAAGGAAAACTACCGAAGCTTTCTTTATACTTTTCTTTTACAGGGTGAATTTAAGATCACAGAGTTCGTGGTGGACTATCAACAACTGGAAGAGACGGGGTTGTATGGGACGTTCGACGTGACAGTCTTCCTGCTACACGAGGCACACAGGATCATATGCACGCGGTGGCTGGTACGCTTCGAGAAAGAACACGATGACGACGATGACGATGATGATGATGATGATGAATAAATATAAGTAATTTTTGCGAAATATTCTTGTGTTTCTTTTGCGAACATACCCAGAGGTACATTGTCTCGATATTAAAGGGGATTAGTGACAAATTGTGATCGTTTTAACACTAAGATTTGTCAGTACAATGTTGTGAAAATTAAATATGTGATATTCATTTTAACACTTTATGTATATTCCTAATACAAAGTTTCGGTCAGTAAGAATCTGATACTGTCTCTGACCCCACCCAAAGCGGGAGAATATTGTATTTGTGTGTATGTGTGTAATATGTTATAATATTACATTGACTGCACGGTTGGCGCGTTAGCTGGGCAACTGGCTGTCGTGCGACGTGTCGAGGGCTCGATTCCCGCACAGAATTGTTGTTTCGGGTCTGGGTGTGATGTGTATGTGAAAATGTATGTTTGTAAACGCACCCACGATACAGGAGAAAATCATAGCGTGGAAAGTTTTTTTTTTTTTAATAAAACGAAATGAATTTCCTCCTTTTAAAAAATAAGGTTGTAAGTGTGCTAGTTGTTGGAATAACAAAAATCAATCTACTCATTATTCTCACGCCACTATTATAAGTGCCTTAAGTGGCCAGCTAACCCTCACTGAGATGTTTGCATCTCGCCCTCATTCTGTTCTGCTAACGCCTTCAGGCAACACACACCTCCTAAAGTATAATAATAAATTCCACCTCTGCTATTTGATAAATAAACTTAGTTTTATTTCATCAACCCAAACCTAACAGGTTATGGGCCCAGTGCACCAGTGCACCAGTGCAGTGCAGTAAAGTACAGTGTAAATAATAATTACTAGAAGTATCGTAAATACTTTTATAAGACAATTAATAAATTTTAAGTGACTTTATTTTTATAAATATACTGTAAAATTAAAATCAGTGAAAATGGACAGCTCCAACTTGAAACGGAACATTAAACAATTCGACGGAGAAAGATATAGTGTTTGGAAATTAAGAATTCGTAATCTATTAAGTGAACTTAATGTACTTCATGTGATCGATGAAGAATCGCCAAACGAACCTAATACTGAGTGGATTAAAAGTGTCAAAACAGCGAAAAATATTTTGGTAGAATATTTATCAGACACTTTACTCGGTTTAGTCACTGAACAATCTTCAGCTAAAGACATTTTCAATAAATTAGATTTGATATATGAGCGAAAAAGTACTTCTAATCAGTTAACTTTGAGAAAACAACTTCTCAATATGAAGTTCAAAGAAGACCAATTAGTAAAGCATTTTCAAAATTTTGATGATTTAATATGCGAACTAGTATCGGCGGGAGCAACGTTAAATGAGAACGATAAAATAACGCATTTATTCATGACACTACCCAACTCTTATAATAGTGTTATTACTGCGATCGAAACTTTAGCCGAAGAAAATTTAAACTTGACGTTCGTGAAAACTAGATTGCTAGACCACGAAATTAAACTAAACAATGAAAATCGAGACACGAGTTTAAAAGTACTACAAGCTAAGACTACGTCGTTTTCAAAAATAAATAAATTCCCAAATGCGACCTATCATCAACAGAAACGGGGTCAACAATTATTTAATAAGAGATTTAAAAGAAATTATAAATCTAAAAACGTGAAATGTCACCATTGTGGAAGAAAAGGTCACATTATGAAAAACTGTTATTACAACAAGATGGCAACTGAACGGTTTCAAAAGCCTGAATACCATCGAACAATACAAGTAGTGAATACGGAAACAACTGATCCAAATGTATCCGGATTTGCATTTATGGTAGGAGCAAATGCCATAAAACGTAATAACCAAGAAACCATTACATTTGTGCTGGACTCTGGCGCTTCAGACCATTTCATCAACAGGCCAGATTTAGCGGAAAAGTTTACAGAATTAGAAAAACCAGTAAATATCTCCGTGGCGAAGAACGGTACTTACATCCAGGCTACAAGAAAGGGAAACTTACCGGTTATTAGTAACTTGGGATTAAAAGGTATATTACAGGATGTTTTATTCTGTAAAGATATTCCATACAACTTGCTTTCAGTAAAGAAAATGCAAGAAGCTGGTATGACAATTATTTTTGGCAAAGATGGAAGCGTACAAATATTCGACACGGGTAAGACATTGGTAACAAAGGGTGAGTGTTTGAACAATTTAATTGGAATTAACTTTTTACTCGAAGGGTCTGTTTTATGTTCTTTAAATAGAGTCGTAAATAACTATGAATTGTGGCATCAACGTTTAGGCCACATTAGTAAATCAAAATTTATGCAAATAAAGCATAAAGAAATGTTTTCTGATATAGAGAAAATAAGTCATATTAAGCCATGTGACAACTTATGTGAAGCTTGTATTTATGGAAAACAAGCATGTTTACCATTTAACAAATCAAAGCCAAAGGTAACAAAACGACCACTATTTAAGGTGCACACAGATGTTTCGGGTCCCGTCACTCCTTCGATACTTGACAACAAAAACTATTTTGTGGTTTTTGTCGATGAATTTACTCATTATTGTGCAACATACTTATTAGCTCATAAATCAGATGTTTTTACTGCTTTTCGGGATTATGCAACAAAAAGTATGGCACACTTTAACCTGAGTATTGTCAATTTATATTGTGATAATGGTGGTGAATATTTATCGAAAGAAATGAGAGAGTACTGTGTTACAAAAGGTATAAGCTACCATTTAACAGTGCCGCATACGCCAGCTTTGAATGGTGTAGCAGAAAGAATGATAAGAACATTAACGGAACGCAGTCGGGCTATGGTGTCCGGTGCGAAATTAGAGAAAACATTCTGGGGTGAGGCTGTGTTAACTGCTACTTATGTAGTAAATATCACACCCACAAAAGCACTGAGAGTTGATAACACACCATTTGAATTGTGGCATGGTAAAAAGCCGCAACTTAAGTATTTGAAAGTCTTTGGTTCAACTGTTTATTTTATGAATAAGACAAAAAGACATAAGTTTGATGAAAAGTCATCAAAAGGTATCCTGGTTGGATATGAACCAAATGGATATAAGGTGTGGTTACTGGTAGACGAAAGGTTTGTGAAAGTCAGAGATGTAATAGTTGATGAGATTAATTTCTTATCAAGTAGGCCAGTTAAGCCTGAAGGAATTGTGAGTAAAAATTCCATTAAATCTGACGGGCACTCCAATGGTTGGGAGGTGCAAAAATCTGATAAGATGAAATCAGATAGTTATATGAGACAAACATTCGAAATACCTATGTCATTAGATCCACCATCTAATAAATCTGTAAGTGAAACAGATGTGTACTCAGACTCTGCATTTCCAAATGAATTGACAATATCTCAAGATGATAAAACATCTCCGAATCTAAGAAGGAGTGAAAGGATTAAAAACATACCTAAAGTGTGTTATGATGACAGTAAAGATGATCTTTCAAATAATTATTTGCTGCATGCACAATCATTAGTATGTTCTATACCTAGATCTTTTGATGAAATCCAATCCAGGGATGATAGACATTTATGGGAAAGTGCTATAAAAGAGGAAATTAATTCACTCCTCAAAAATGAAACCTGGACCCTGGTACAAAAACCTATTGACAGAAATATCATTGATTGTAAATGGGTATTTTCTATTAAAAACGATGAATCTGGAAAACCATTAAAATATAAAGCGCGTTTAGTAGCTCGTGGTTTCAATCAAGAATATCTTATTGATTATAATGAGACGTTTGCACCTGTTGCAAGAATAGCAAGTTTCAGATTTATTTTAGCATTCGCGAATCAGTATAGATTGCTAGTGCATCATATGGATGTAAAAACGGCATTTTTAAATGGGAAACTTGAGGAAGAGATTTTTATGAAAGTACCACAAGGAATCCCATGTACAGATAACAACTTGGTCTGTAAATTAAATAAGTCGTTATATGGATTAAAGCAATCAGCACGTTGTTGGTTCGCAACGTTCGAACAAGTCTTGATTGAAAAAGGTTTTCGATATTCATCAGCTGACCGATGTCTATATATATTAGATGCAGGTGATATTTCTAAAAACATTTATGTGATTTTATATGTTGACGATCTTGTTATCGCAACGGCAGATATCAAAACCATGAACACCTTTAAACAATACTTAATGAAAAGGTTCAGAATGGTAGATTTGAAAGAAATAAAGTGTTTCTTGGGGATTAAAATTGAAAGAAGCAATAACAAAATAACTTTAGACCAAAAATTGTATATAGAAACAGTCCTTAATAAATTCAACATGAGTGACTGTAAACATGTCAGTACTCCACTTGAAACTAAAGTTGATTTCGAAGCTTTAAATTCGTGTGAAACAATGAATGCCCCTTGTAAAAACCTTATCGGATGTTTAATTTACATTATGGTTTGCACTCGACCCGATTTGAGTTATAGTCTAAACGTCTTGAGTAGATTTGCTAACAAAAACAACCATGCACTTTGGTCACACTTAAAAAGAGTGCTTCGTTATTTAAAAGGGACGCTTGATTTAAAATTGACTTATCGTCGGAGCAATTCAGATAAAATACCGTTAAGTGGTTATGTTGATTCTGATTGGGGTTCTGATGAAGTGGATAGAAAAAGTACTACGGGTTATTTGTTTAACTTATTTGAGCAATGCACTATAAGTTGGAAAACAAAAAGGCAAACAACAGTAGCAGTTTCTAGTACTGAAGCAGAGTACATGGCACTATTTGAGGCCGTAAAGGAAGCTCTATGGTTAAAGTCTTTAGTAACCAGTATAGACATTAAAATACTGGATCCGATTCCTATTTATGAGGACAATAGTGGTTGCATAAGCATTGCAAATAATCCGACATGTCATAAAAGGTCAAAACATATTGACATCAAATATCATTTCTCTAGAGAACAAGTTGAGAAAAATGTTATTAAAATAATTTATGTGTCCACAGGTAACCAGTTGGCTGATGTGTTAACGAAACAGTTACCCACTGTTCGTTTCTCCCAGTTGAGAGAGAAATTGGGATTAGAATAGATTACAATATATTTCATATATGAATAAAATTTATAGTATTAAATACTTAACTAGGTTAAGATTTTGAATAAGTATAACATGGTCTGATTAGGTTTTTCTGGGTTTCCCTAATCCTATGCAACGAATGTTGGACCATTGAATGATTGTACCCCAGATAAAGGATGGTGTGTGATACTATGTTTGTAATTAATTTTATTTTAGATTAATTTTTGAGGGGGCGTGTTGGAATAACAAAAATCAATCTACTCATTATTCTCACGCCACTATTATAAGTGCCTTAAGTGGCCAGCTAACCCTCACTGAGATGTTTGCATCTCGCCCTCATTCTGTTCTGCTAACGCCTTCAGGCAACACACACCTCCTAAAGTATAATAATAAATTCCACCTCTGCTATTTGATAAATAAACTTAGTTTTATTTCATCAACCCAAACCTAACACTAGTTACCGGACGACGAGCTCGAACTGGTGGTGGTGCAGCAGATGCTTGTTGCTGGGCAGTCGCGCGGCCAGGTCCCGCACCAGCGCGGCGCGCGCCCCCGCCGCCCGCAGCGCGCGGACCACGCCCGGCAGCGACTTGCGCGCGTCCGCGTACCGACACTCGAATATCGCCGCGATACATGACCGTAACACCTGACACATACAAACATCTTTTTCACTGCCCTACTTCATAATTCTACGACACACGAATGTCTTTCTCACTAAGTACCCCACTTCACAATACTAAGACACAATATGAAGTGGGGTACTGAGAAATAATTTGTGATAACGCAATACGACAATACGTCTGATAATGCAATAAGGTAGGTAAATTTCACTGCTCGGCACCATTTGATTTTATCGTGCTGTTTTATAGCCTATAACATTCGGTAACATTGTAGCTATCTATCTGGGAAATAATTTTGACAATTCGACCAGCGGTTCCATAGATTACCTCCTCTAAATTTTTCAGTTTGTATGTAACAAACTGAAAAATTTTACCTCTTTATAGTATTAGTATGTTCATAATTTGATTCATCTATTTGAGGTTATACTTCAATTTAGATCTTTTCCTAGCAAATTTTACAGAAATAAGTAAGTACTTACAACAAACGGTATATTTGTCGCATGAGGTCAGTTAGTCCCTAAACCTCGTCTCTTATAAGTAACAAATTTTCTAAATATGATTACCTCAAGCCGCCTAGCAGAGTTAGTGAGTAGTAGATGTCCATAGTCCGCAGCCCCGGTAGGAGGCGCGCCGGGTGCCACGATTCGGGACTGTACTGGTCGGAGAGCTGACAGTCTGCAATCACAAACAGATATTAATTTTTTTTTGTATCTACCAATAAGATTTAAATCAGATTCAGATTCAACCTGTCCAGGGTACCTGTCTAGGTACACACACATAAACAGTTGTTTAGTTTTTTTTATCTAATGGGGGTTGTCGACTCTTTTTTTGCCGCCAGGCGGCGCTTCGTATGCGTCAGGTCCAAACAGCTGTCAGAATCTGTACTATCTGCACAGATTCTTACCGAACGTATTATTTTTATTATTATTTTAGTAAAATTTTATGTATTTGGAAGTGGTACTGATTTTATTATGGCACCAAGCGACTGTTTTAATCGGCTTTTATCTTCTGTAGGGAACTTATGTCCTCCTTTTTTATTTGCATGTTGTGCAGTGCACAACACTGTGGCATTTTAGAAAACAATATTCCGTTTGTAATGCTTTTAAGAATAAATGAACCAACAAAAGGATCGAGAAATATAAATCGTGTATGTATTTTAACAGGTAGTTGGGCCTGACGTTACAGCGCTGCCATCTCACGGGGGAACATTTCAGAAAACCCTTATTGTACCTTGGTGAGAGGTAAGAATTATTTTGTAACTTCATTAAGAAGATTGTTACTATGTTTAAGAAAAAAAAGTTTAGCCTTACACAAAACAAATTAGCAGCTATCTTTTCCGGAATGTGTTTTCAAGAACGAGTGCTTTACGCAAAAATTACTGAACCGAATCAGAATGAATTTGGGTATCGAGATAGCTTACAGTCTGAAATAACACAAGATCACCTTATTTACCCTAGTACTGTGGGCGAAGCCGTCGGAAGAAGCTTAGTCCTTACTTAGTTACTAAGATAAAAAAAAATTGTACGTAATTACTTACTTAGGATTAGAGGCACTCCTTTGGGCGACCTCCCTCATAACTTCCCTGACGCGCGCTGCGTCTAAAGCTGGTAGTGGAGGTTGGTGGATGCGGGAGGACGCGCCCTCTGGTGGACGGAGTATGCGCTGCTGGAACGCCTGGAAACCAAACAATCAAAATATTTTAGATTTACATTTTAAGTCTATCGCCGCCGATCACTTCCCTGAGGACCCGCCGAGAGGCCACCGTATGCTCCACCGTGTCCTTCATTTGGTCCTCACAATGACAATACCGAGAATTACTTCCCGCTGGATTCGAAACGGGTGCCTGCCGAAACTTCCGTGCCCAGTAAGCACCGGCGTCAGGCAAAATGTAAGGAAGCCATAGCGTTTCCGTCCGTAAGTCCGTCTGACGGAAGTTAATGATGCCCTAGGACATCTACATCACCAAAATTTTCATTACACATTGTTAACCATATTTCTCTACAGTCTTGTGAAATTTGTTACATACATAGTTTGGAACTCGAGGAAATAGTTTTTATACCAAAAATCTCCAGGAACTCACTATTCCAAGCGAATAAAGTCGCGGGCAAAAGCTATTTGAAAAATATTTTTACATAATACTTAGCACTTTCACATAACGTAACAAACAAACTTAATTACAATAAACTAATGGGGCACGAAGTTCAAACAAGTATAACGTTCTATATTTAAAATAATCTGGTACATAGAAGCTTTTCGGACATTTTTGAAGCCCTTAGTATAAAAATAAGTAAAGAATTTCATCATTAATATTTAAAGAGAGCAACTAACCTGTGGGTTGGGATTTTCATTGAGATGTAACTGCATAGCCAGGTCTTGTATATGCTGCAACTCTAGTTCAGGGTTTAGTGACTCTAACCGAACTTGTTCCGGAAGGTTTCTGAAAATTAAAAAGAATTTTATAGTTCTCAACACTTTTATTTTATTTTTAACTTATCCCAGCACTACCAACTACGACCGATGTTTAGCCGGGGTCGCGGGGCAAGCACAATAAAGTAACGCGATCTCGGCCTGGAGTAGAAGAAGAAAAGAGGGGGAGAAAGAAACGGGGGGGAGGTGGGGGGCGTTAATCAGTTAGTCTGACACACCCTCTCGCCATACCTTGGGCGAGACAAGACTCGTAGTGAATTTTCGTCCACAAAAACAAACTATCAATAAAAAAATACAATCTTTCAATACTTACTGTACAAGTTCATCCCATATATCCGTGGCCCTCCAAGGAGGACCTCTCTCTGCTACAAGACCGTTGAAGAACATGGAGTCTAGCAGGCGCACCGCGAACTGACACTGGGACAGGCCACGAGCTCCCAGGAAGCCCATCTTGTGGAATGTCAGCACAGGCGATGGGTGGATGCGGATTATGGTTAGACAGTGTCTGGAATAATATGACAATAACTTACTAATATTTTAAAAGCGAAAGTTACAATGTTTGGATGTTTGTTACACATTTACGACAGAACGGCTGGATGGATCTGGTTGAAATTTGGTACAGGCATGGGATACACTCCGGAATGTGACATAGGATACTTTTTATCAACATACCACGCGGGCGGAAGCTAAGCTTAAATAATGTTATAAAAGCCAGCCAGGTTTTGCGTCGACCCGGGATTCGAACCCAACACCAACGCAGCTGCAGGCGGGCGAGTCTAGCGTGCCAACATGTCGCGCGCGCCGTCGCTGCCGACACCACGGCTAGAAGAAAGTGCGCGTGAATCACGGCAGAGGGCGTTGGGCGCGCAGACTCGAGTAGCCAGTAGCAGCGCGACGGTCGCCGAGTCGCGTGTCGCGGAATGCTGCTCATGAATATGGGCCTCTAGCATGGCTTGAAACTAGTCGAGTATCTCGTCAAATTATTACGTGAGTAAGCCGAAAACATAATAAATAATTTAGAATGTCTCACGAAAGTTATAAAAAAAAAAAAACTATGATTCCAAATTAACTAAAAATCGGACGCGGCGACGTCGCGTCCGCGCACGCTTCTCATGAGGAAGAACCCCTCTGTGGTTCGAAGCTAGTAGAGCTTTTCTCAATATTTACACGTGAGTAACCCGCGATTTTTAGTTAATTTAGTATGTCTCACGATAGTTATTATAAAAACTAAGATTCCGTAAAAAATGGTAAATAATCGAAACAAATTTTATTGAATGTCATTAAAATAAGTGTCACTTTAAAGAATTTTCGACTTTAAAACAAAAACGTAAAGTACAAAATATATTGATATTTTTTTACAGTTGAGAATAGCTTCACAGGCCTTTATTTGTACTTGTAGATTCAATCAACATACCTATATCCCTGAAGCAGTTTCGCTAAAGTCCTCATGAACACAGCCCTGATCTCCTTATCAAGCATATGTGGTGGGGATGAGGCCGGTGGTGGTGGGGCGAAGGCCGAGTCTGCGGACCGAAGTTCTGGCTGCAGAACAAGCGCCAGGGCTTCCTGGAGCGAGGAGAGCAGCTTGCCTTCTGGACGGGGGATGTTCACACCGGCCGGTATGTGTAGAGAGCCTACGTCTAAATCTGCTACTATAACGTCCAACTGAAAGAAGAAAACACAGCACATTAGTTGAATGAGTTTTATTTTAATCTAACAGCAAGTTCCGATTTTAAGTAGGTGCCATTTCCCCTCGTTTAAGGCGTCGAATATTCCTTTCATAGAATCTTAGTTCTATTCATAAAGTAACGAACACGAAGAAAATATTATTAAAATTGCTCAACTCTGCGAATTATACAAAATATTTTGGAGATTATCTTAAAGTTAAATTGGTCTTGGTTAATATCACTTAAACTCAAGAACAGCTGAACCGTTTTTGCTCATAAATGAGTCTAGGGAAGGTTTCAATAGTCTATAGACATAACTTAATTTTGAGAAAGTAAAGATTGCCGGGCATGCTTGAAAAAAAACAATTCTGTACTCCCAACTTCTTGAATTTGAGGATTATATGTCACATCTATCAGCCATAGAAAGCTATTGAGAAATGTGAGTGATAACGATTACCCAAACAAAAAGGTGTACTTACATAAAGAGAGCGTAAAAACTATCATTTCTTAACTTACCAATTCCGAAACCTCCTCTTTCAAACTGGAATGGACTCCAATAAGAAACGGCGTCGGTGTTGCTAGTACTTCGGCTAGACCAGCTGGTAGTAGGGGTATGTAAACGTGGGCGTATCTGAATGGGAACATGAGCGCTGCTAGGGCTCTGCAAGCGGCCGCTAATCGAGCCGCTGCTAAGGACACCAGGAGAACTTTGTGCTCACTCATCACTGCGCACCATAGCGTTACCGAGTTGTGGATACCTGAAACATTGATGTTGAGATTTATTTATTTTATTTTAAGAAAGGCCAACCGACTAATAGACAAATTATATAATGTCTCTAATATTATCAGGTTGCTAATTAAAGGTTCCAGGTATGAATTTCTTGCCATTCATGTGTATTCTTTAGCGAGTTCAAAAATATGAATCGCAAAATGTGGTTCTAAACGAAACTCTAGAGAACAGCTGAACCGATTTTGCTATTTATTTTTGTTATGCTAACGAAAAAGTTCTGAAGAAAAAAATAAGATAAATGTAGATCACAAAATCCATATTTTTTTTTACATACACATTGCACCCAGGCCCGAAACAACAATTTGTGGATCACTCAAAGAGTAGTTCCGTGCGAGAATCAGATCCGCGACACGTTGCCAACCAGCCGGTTGCCCAGTGCACCAACCGTGCAGTCATTCATATTATACATAAGCTCCTATTAAATATCTTACTTTAGATAAATTCCATTATTTTGGAGAAGGAGATGTCAGCATACTCACCAAGCAACCTGAGCAGCATATAGACAGCGGTGTGTGTAACTGGCATGGGCGGCGCGGCCGGGGGTTGCAGAGCCTGGCGGTCACCAGCTCCGATGCTGAACCGCACCTGCGGCCCGCCAGGGTCTGGCACCAGCACGCCGCCCACCAAGTTACCGACCAACGTCTCTAACGGCACGCCCAAGTTCTCCACCCATACTGTGTAGATTATGCCTAAGCAGTTCTGGAAGATACAAAAGGAAATACATGTTAAAATCTTAAAGGTGAATGTCTCATATAGCGGGCAGACTGCAGGTCTTATTACCGGTTCGGAGAATAATAGGCAAATATTAAACAGTAAGTATCACTGCATAGTAGGTCACTTCCCAAAGAAACTTCCCGCTGCCTGTACCTATGTATGCTTAGCTCTTTAAAACTACGTTACAGATATTGATGCGATTTTATAATAGAGTAAGGAAGGTTTAGGTTTACGGACAAAGTCGCGGGCAGGAGTTCCTTATTATCTTCGTGGCAAAAAGGCTTCAATATCGCCATTTTCTTTTTTATCTTATCCTCGTTTATGCAAAGCAAAGTGTGAAAGCCACTCAACGTGAAATATTGAGTTAGAGCTGCTTTTGGCAAAGCATACAGAGAACTTCATTAGGAAAAGGGCTTTGAAGAAGATTGTATCAATCAATTTTATGTGGAAGTATGTTTGCTGTGTTAATGTACCATCGTTACACATTGTCATCTCACAAAAGAGAAGCAAAAGATCAATATAAAATTGAATAAAATCGGCTCGACCGAAGTGATACATCGGTCTTACAGAAAACCAGTGAAGCGACCAAGGCGTTGTGTTTTGTCGTGTAATGTTATTGGAAGCCCAAACCTTCCCCTCTTCCATCCCTCATCAATCCCTAAATATCCGAAACTGTAGTCTCCAATCCCTAAAAAGCCGGCTACGCACTCCTAAGTAATCTGGTGTTGCGGGTGTCCATGGGCTGAGCCAATTACTTATCAGGTAATCCGCGCGCTCGTTTGGGGCGTTGAGATCTTAGCGCACGGAATGCAGAATCACATATAACAACAATCATAACATACAGAATAAAGAAAAAAAATTAAAACATGTATTGTTCTTTTCTTACTGAATCAAATACTTTCGTCAATTACTTTTTTATTGTAAAAGGCAGACACAATCATCTGATGTTAATTCTTATTGTGTAGTTTGCCTGTATTGTAACTTCCCAGTAAATCAAAGAGCAATCTCCTCTGAACTTACCCTGAAGGTATCGATGTAGTCCTGCCTCGAGACGATGACGAGGCATTTGGGAGCGTACATGATGCTGTGGTGGGTGATGTTCGGAACTGGACGTGTCGATTCTAATGACTCTTCGTCCTGGAAACAAACAGAAAGGTACCATTAATAAATATGTATATAAAACTTCTCAATAAAAGTCGAGAAATGTGAGTATGTGATAATTTACCCAAACTAATATTATAAATGCGAAAGTAACTCTGTCTGTCTGTCTTTTCTTCACGCCTAAACTACAAAACCTGATTTCTGTGAAATTTGGCCCAAACATAGTTTGGAACGAGAGAAAGGACATAGGATAGTTTTTATACCAAAAATCTGCAGGAAGTTACTATCCCACGCGAACGGAGTCGCGGGCAGAAGTTAGTAATATAATAGAACCTAAACAGTAAATTTCTTAAACGTTTTCTTCTCAATCAGAGCGGATACTCCAATATAGTAGACCATTGAAAGAAACATTGAAACAACACTATGTAGGACACAAAAATACCTCATAAAATATATAACATATTCACAAAACAGTCTCATACCGATCTCGGGACAAAATTGACGGCAAAATGACACGCTATTACAGTCTAAAATGAGATTTTTACGGCGCCCTACGACGCCTCCCTCGAATTACGATAGGGTGGCGGTAGACAGAATTTAATTTCGCTGTATCATAGCTCCAAAGTCATAAACAAGGAATATTGAACAAACATTGACGTTTTATTTTGTTAGTCACGTGGAAGTGGGCTTTGGTTATAACTTGCTTGCTTATGTACATTCTTCAAAATTATGGAATGCACGTTAATGCTAAAATTGATTCGATTCAATAGAGAGACAGTTGAGTTGAGAATGGCTTTATTAAAACCTAAAATTTGGTGTACCTAAAAATAGCTACAGTTTTCGTATTGAAAAAAAACTATACCTGAACTATAACTACTATTTTTGTTGTGGTATAGCCATTGTCATCTTTAATACTTTAAAACCAGAGTTCATTTTTACTTTACAAGCCAAAAACACGAATAAAATTAGACATACAACTCGTTAATTAGATACCACACATTCATGAAGGATTAACAACTAATTCAGCAAGGACAATATCACAAACCCGTATCTTAATTGCAATGCAAAATATTCACACATTAAGGTCGGCTGACTCGAGAGCTTATCGATAACACTCTAGTACAATCGAGAATCGATTATTCGACGGTAATAGCTTATCGCCCTTAGCGACAGCAGTGCGAACCGTTTGTGCTAGCAAAATGAATGCATTTATTGTTTGGTACTACAGACTACGACTGTGGGATTACTGGTGACATTTTTAAGGAAAACCATTAAATTACTTCTATCGCCCAGCCAGGGTATACCGAAAGGGACTGTGAGACTCTTATAATTGCGCTTGACCCGCAACCCCGTCTAAACATTGGCCCTGTTTGATCCTGTCTGTGGTGGTCTGGTTCTGGTCGGGTGGCGAGCTACCCTTGCCGACCACATGCGTTAGTTACTGTGGCCGGAGATCGTTCGTTCGATCCCCGACAACAGGAGAGTAAGAACTGGAGACGTAACGATTGAAAAAATGGCCATTCGTTGAACAGTATAAAGAAGTAGATAAGAGAGGACACCGGTATCCGTTTAGGGCTTGAGGGAAGGGAAGGGGGAAAAGCGATGACGTCACAGACAACACCGGCGTCCGCTAGGATATTAGGACTTTAGGTTAAGTCACGGAAAGATACCTAATACTAAACATCCAATTCAGAGGTCTGTCTCACATTAAGAAGACGTATTATTACCAAAAATTCAACATTTGAACTGGCGTTTAGGTCAGGTAAACTTCAAATAACTCTTATATTATAACAACTATTGTATAGTATATAAGTATATATAATAAGTGACATCAGTCAGTATAACTATTGACGTCACTTTTCTATCATCCTTTGTTTACCGTCTATAAAAGGAGTGTTTTACAATAATCTTGTATCGAGAACAATTTACACGTATATCAGCAATGGAAGTAGAAATTCAACATTTCACATTCAACTGGATTGATGATTCTGATGACATAATTTGAGTGCATTCTTCTTCTATTTCAATCTGACCTTCTAAGGTATGTTTTTTTATGTTCTCTTCTTCATGCCATTCTTTCTCCTATTAATCCTTGTCTATCATCACCAACAATAGCATTTATGAGTCTATACGCAAGCCAGGAAGGTTTGAAATCGCGTTTTGGGTCGAACATAATATCAGAGAATGCTCCTCTATCTAATCTAGGAAATGCTTTCGATTCTTGAGAAGTTACTCGCGGAGTTTAGGAGTGCGAGTTGGTCACCACACTCAGGGTTTAATGAGCAGAAAATGACCAGAATAATCATCAATTTGGTGATTGGAAAATTGGGGAGTTTTTAAGGGAAGACATAAGACTGGGGCCAATAACCTTACTCACACGGCGAAATGTCAGTGTGTTTTCTGTGTGGCCGTTGTATACTCCATGATAACATGGCTTTATTGTTCTAAATCCTGGTTAAATCAACGTAATATATCTATCTACGAATTAGAGATGAATAGATAAGCTTCATGCAGAACATTCAAACGTAGATAGGCAGCGTTTGTTGTTAGTTAATCACACCGAGAGCCGACGTTTCCGCCGGAGACACGGAAGCGACGCAGTTGTAATAATGATGACTTTGATTCAGATACTGCGACTTTTTAAACGTGAGATATTGCACTGTTTACCTTAAGTCGGGGTTAAAAGGTTGTTTTTCTGGTGTAACAAAAAGGTTTCTTATTCGTTTGGTATTTTGTTTATGTTTGGTAATCTATTTATTGGTCTGATAATGCGTTGGATACAATGGCCTTTCTTTTTGGTTTATATAAACGAATATTTTTAATATTATTATTTGTTTGTTCTTTCCTTTCACGAGACCACAGGGTCCCGGACCTTTGGAAGGCGTACGAGGAGCCAAAGCCAACTCGCAGAGGCCCGTTGAACAGTTTTAATCTAAATGTGATGGGACATCAGCCGGCAATTATCCCTGTATGCACTATAAAAGTGCATCCAAGGAATTTATAATATTTCAATACAAAGCACAATCGCAGGTATACCTATGACACCCTGATAAAGCTTATAATATTATTCTTACTCATAATATATCAGTAAAAAGTAGTTTTATATTAACTAAATATCAACAAATTATCGATATACAAACATTCAGCTCACCAGGCTCCCAGGTGTATTCAATTTGGTAATACTAATTAATGTAATACCAGCAATTATTTGAACACATCTCATTAACAAATATTAGCTACCGTCCGTAAATTACGTCATTCATTAGAAAGAGAATTCATCAGATGAGTTCCCTGACAAAAAAAAGTCTATATTGCGTTTTCTTTTTTCTGAAAACGGAAACACTGTTTATGAGAAACCACGGAACTGTCTTCTTTCATATGTCTGTATTTAGTGTAACTTTGCTTTGATTAATTTCTTTTGTAAGGAATAAATTAGCTAATGTACAGTAGAATACACAGACAATTAAAATCACTTTCTTTCACAAGTGCAAAACACAAATAACTTAGAAGCACAGACGTGGTGACCAGTACTACAACCAGTCGCAACTTTCGTTAATGTAAGTAGACATAAACTTTTGTTAAGCCTTTGACTGCCGACAGAAAACTGTTGAAGGCAAATCCTCCGCCAGCGGAGGTCACCGGTGTCCCCCATGGCGTTTAACGTTAACAACTGATATTCTCATATGTCCAAATTTGTTCTTAAGACCTAGGACCATATTATGTCATACGTATGACGTTTGCTTAAACTTGTCCCTAGTTTCCCTCATATCGTCTTCGTTTTAGTTTTTGCACAAAAGATTAAGAATAATCCCCGAGCGAGCCCGAAATTAAACGAGCACAGCCGAATATTAAGGCTAAACTTTATACATGGTGTAATATTTAAGACTTATGCACAACTTTTACATTTAGCGTCGCTGCCAACTAAGTACTACTTAATTACCATAATACTATCGCTTGATTACTTCAAATAAACCTTTTCTAATTGTAAATTCTTATTAAATACTTAATTTATGTAGGAATTTGAATGAATAAGTCGAGAACAGATGTTCGTAAAAGAGATGAGTGACACGAAATTTGAGCTACCAATCGACAGTATCTTTCCTCGACCTTCCCTATACCAAATATGACAGCCCAGTTTTAAAAGTTAACCTTCCAATTCTTTGAATAACAAACAACCAGGTAAAGCTGCAGTTACGGTTAAAAGCTTGAAAAAAGAGTACGATGAATTTGAAACAAAAGACGATTAAAAACTCTTTAATTTAAAAATAGATCGAAATTACCAAAATACGGGCATATGTGCAAATGATAAACAAAGTAAAAACCATCACATTAAGATATCGAATCGCTCAAACAGTCAAACACATTTGAATTACAAGTGCAGTCGTTTCATGTTTCTTTAGAAAATCGGGAACACCTACATGTGTCCATGCATTAACAAACTATTTTCAACTCTATATGCTTTCAACACATGGTTTAAAATCAATTGCCTAGTCGTACAAGTTAACCGGCCTGCGCAATTTTCAACTTTGTAAACTTTAAATACAGTTTGAAATGCTGTAAAGAGTTTAAATTACTTAGTGCACTCAATTTTGAACTCTATCAATAAGAGATGAAGTTTAAACTTCGTTGTAAAGTTTACCAGTGAATGGGTTAGTCCCAGCAGGCGTTTCCTGCTATCAAAGTTTAGTTTACCTTACCAGTTTTGCATGTAAACAAAGTTTTCTAGACAGGAACAGAATGGTATAGAATTATTAGTCTAACAGTTTAGTGAAATTGCTCATAATATAAAAAAAAGTATTTGGGCTGAATTCGAATAGTCTTATAGAACAATCCAGGAAATTCGCCATTGCTAAAAATTGACGAAAGGAAGGGCTCAAAGTGTAATTAATGTTTTATTTAAGCCCAATTTTCCATGACGCTCTAAAACTAAAAAACGTATTATTACATTATATAAAACAAAGTCGCTTTCTCTGTCCCTATTTCTCTGTGTGCTTTCATCTTTAAAACTCAGAACGAATTTTGGATCGGTTTGTTTT